GGGTTTTTTTTTTCGGATGTATCCATAAGGTGACTAAAGAGGGCTGGGAGCAAAACTGCAAATATTAAAGGCAAATTCCTTTTTTTTTCTTTGTTTTTTGGATTCTGTTATCTTCAGTAACTTTTATGTAACAAGACTTTTTTTAACTTTGCTGCTTTCTCATAGCTTTGATCTTTTCTGGAATCTCAGCAAGACTGCATCACTTGAGTTTCTTCAACACGTTTCTATAGCCAACCATCTTATGTAGCCATGTTTGCATATGTCATAACTCCTCGTAAGAGTAAATAAGGTTTCTTCACCCTGTGTTTACTCAGTTTAGCCACGGAAGCTGCCCTGTGGTACAGAAATACTTTCCAACTGCTTGAATATTGGGATCCTAGGTACCATTGTTAGGACTTACCTCACGTGATACACACATGTGAGCTGGAGAGCCTGAGATCCATTTCTCTCTGTTGATAGCAAGGGACATTTGACCACACTGTTCATCTGACTGATTTTAGATGTCTAGTTTGTAATGAGGTGGCTCATGTTCCAAAATCGCCTGTGTCCCTCAGTAACTCCAGGGGGATGCTGCAGTGGTTCACACAGCTGCAGACATGTGTACTGTGGGGCTCTTCATTTACCAAATCACCCTACCTACTTTGACAGATCCATCTGAAGATATTTTCACATTTTCTCTCTGCAAAAAATGTTTCTGAGGATAACATTATGTAAAAATCAAAACAGATCAATACCAAGTAGGTCATAATGCCAATATACCTACTTTTTTTGTTCTCCCAGGTCTTCAGCTGTTGGACATTTTAGACAAGCTAAGGTAAGGGTCACTGTTTAAATTTTCTTTTATAAGTGAGATTCATAGTAACTTAAGGTGTGGAAACTTAATACTTATCAGCTTTCAGCTGTGTGAAGTCAAGTGTACCTATGTGGAGCGGACTACACTTGTATGCCCCCATTACATGGGAACTGGAGGCACTAGGCCAGTGTTAAGATGCTCTTGCCAACTGCAGTGTCACAGGGACAGCTGTTGGTGCAGATGGCACTGACAGCGTCTCTGGGCACAGTGGAGCAAGGCTCAGCAACATCCTTCTTGAGGCTGCGTTTCAGACTGAACCTGAAGTGATGCTGAGAGCTCACTGAGCAGCTTGCTGCATTCAAACCCTTTCACTGCTGGTGTTCTCCCAGAAACATCCAACTAAAGCAATTTACTAATGCATATCTGACATATCTGTCTTTGCAGTGTCTTAATTTTAAACCAATGTTCTGTCAGAAACACCCATGTTAAATTCTAGAATGTGTGATATGTGAGTTGCGGTTATCCATGTAACTGGAATTGTTCCATCCAACCCCACAAAAATTAGGGAAGAGAAGATTTTTTCAACAGTGCCAGTTAGCAAGCATAGAGTTCCATCTCTGAGTTCTCTCAAGAGTTCTGAAAAAGTTAGCTTTAGAATGGCTGGAGTTTTTTCAATCCAATTTTGAGTAAGAGAGAGGGAAATTTTTTCAAACAGAAATGTCACTGGAATATTCTTAATTTGCTTTGACATTAAATAAATAAATAAATAAATAAAGGTGGCCCAGTTACAAAAAGGTGGAAATGCCACTTCTGTTACAGCTCCAAGGAGAAGTCTATACAAAGCATACACAGGGCCAGGTTATGCCATGAAAAGTACTATTCATTTGTATGTGTTAACTGTAGAAAGAGGTACATTCCGTTCAAGAAAGAATGTTCGGGTGACATTTGGTCCTTTATGAATAAGGTGGAGTTGGTTACTTTCAACACTGACTGTCTGAGTCTCAGAGGCAAAGAGAGAAAAGCCATTTAAACAAAAATAATAATCTGAAAATCAGTGAAGGGCTCTCCAGTGAAAATGAATGCTGTAATATTGCAGAGACATAGAGGAGGAGGATCTGCTTATCCAGTGTGATACATTTGAGGAGTTCAAAATAGAAGATGATGAGGAATTATTGAAGATATGTGATGGGATAAACATGAACGATCATCATGAGGTCTTTTCGTCTCTCTTCAATAAAGTAAGTAGGCCCTCAGGTGGGGTGAAAAGTCATGCAATGGCAAAGTTAACACACTTTGCTTGGAACCAGCCTAGCTGTAATAGAAAGCTGCCCTGTTTTCCAGGTGAGCCGCTCTCCGGTGTCCATCCAACTACTGTCCATCCTCCAGAGCCTGCTGCACTTAGAACCATCTCATCACTCCAGCCTCCTGCTGTGGGAGTCCTTGGATGCAGTAGTGAACAGAGCCCTTTTGCTTGCAAATGACAGTAAGAATGACATATCCATCCAGCCTTCCAGCCTCGCACTATCCTCTTGTTTTCCTTTGTCCTACCCACTGCCCACCAAAGTCCTTCCCAAATGTATAGGAAATAATGTATGGGACTTGTTAAGAGCTGAACAGAAGGTGGCACAAAGCTACATCTCCTGTACAAAGTCTCAATGCAAAGCCCCAGCCATGTGGATGACAGTGAAAGCTGGCCGTGTTTAGCAGTGGGCTCAGGATTCATAGTCTTGCTTTGATGGTTAAGCCCTGAGCTTTGGGTCATGGGAGTCAGTGGGAATCTGTCCTTGTTGGCATCCTGCTGCTCCTGATGGCCAGTGTTGCTGGCAGTCATGCTCAAAAAAGTGTTGGTCAGAACCATGGGGAATTGCCTGGAAGCTAGAAGTGCAGTTATGTAAAGTGATAGCAGGCGGGGTCTCTGTGGCTTCTGATCTGCTCCTTGGTGAGGGTTGAATAGCATGAACCAACCTTTGGGCTCCATCCCTTTCTCTGACCCCTGACTCATTTCTCTAGTCCAGGGGAACACAGTTGAAGAAGTTATCGAGAGGCTGCTGTCTATCAAGAAACATCCAAACAAGCAAAAGCAAGCTGAAAACCAGTTGTCTGGGAATGTGAATGAAGGCCTCCAGGCTGAGCTAGAGCCATGTGCACATGCAGCTCAGAGTCCAGCAGGATCTTCAAACCCCTCCAAGGCATCAGCAACTCCCTCAGGGCCACCACCCAACGAAAAGAACTCATGTTCCCAGCTCACAGCCTGCTCTGCTTTGCCAGAGACATCTAACCCTTCACCCAATGCTGCTCTGGCACCGCCATCACCACCACCTCCACACCCATCCTCTGGCACAGCTGCCATGACCCCCACATCCCCCGTGATGAATGCAACTGCAGCCCCTCCACTCCCTGACTTGCCTCCCCCTGCACCCCCATTGCTTGGCATGGGGGGCATCCCTCCCCCTGCACCCCCATTGCTTGGCATGGTGGGCATCCCTCCCCCTGCACCTCCATTGCCTGGCATGGTGGGCATCCCTCCCCCTGCACCTCCATTGCCTGGCGTGGGGAGCATCCCTCCTCCTCCACCCCTATTGCCTGGCATGGGGGGCATCCCTCCCCCTCCACCCCCACTGCCTGGCATGGGGGGCATCCCTCCCCCTCCACCCCCACTGCCTGGCATGGGGGGCATCCCTCCCCCTCCACCCCCATTGCCTGGCATGGGAGGCATCCCTCCCCCTCCACCCCCATTGCCCGGCATGGGGGGCATTCCTCCCCCTCCACCCCCATTGCCCAGCATGGGGGGCATCCCTCCCCCTCCACCCCCATTGCCCAGCATGGCAGGAGAGCATATAGAAGCTGTGGTGGCCACCCAGTTCAGCTGCCCTCTTGGCTTGGGCAGGCCTCCCCGCAAGACGGTGAAGACGCCAACGTTGAGAATGAAGAAACTGAACTGGCAGAAGCTGCCCTCCAATGTGGTGAGAGGTGGGTGCTTCTGGCATAGTCACTACTGCTTTGAGGGCGACCCAGGGAAGAATCACTGTCTTTGAGTTTGTCAAATGTGGTTGACTCCACTTGGATACAGAACTTCCCTGATTTCCATTACATCTAACCTGCAGAGCTTAAGTAAATATTAGTAGCACAAAACTACTGATAAAATAACCATTCCAACTAAATCGGTCATTTATAATAGCTGGTTTATAGCTGAAATACTTTGAAATTAGAAGCAGGGGGAGGGATGGGAATATTCCCCAAATCCACCATGACATACCTTAGGCTTGTGTTCTCAACCGGCTCTGATCTGGGTTCTGCAGACCTTCATTCCCTAGTTCATGTATACTTGTATCTGGGTATATTAAAGTCATGAGTAAGAGTACAGGTAAGGATCACATCACAGTTCAAGAAAGACACTGAAAGAGCTGGAGATTTGTGAGAATCCCTGACTTGTCTTGATTTTTGGGTTACATTTCCCTTTCCTAATGGATCCAAAGAGTGATCCAGAATGAAATGTGAGGAGAAGCCTGGACAGGCAACACCAGCTTTGTCCTAGACAAGCAAGTCCGCACAGAAGCTGGCATAGGTGAAGTCTAAATAAAGCTTGTTTTCAATCACAAGAGAAGTTAATTGTTGGGATTATTTCAGTAGAGACTTCTACAGGCATGTTTAGGTGATTTAAAGAGAAAATACAGTATTTTTAAGCAAGTGCAGTGAGAGTTAATTCAAGCAGTCCTATAGCCAGCATTTTACAAGAAGGTTCAATTACAAAATGATAAATGGAGGAAGGACACAGTCAGAAACACCCAGGTGGTGGCCAGTCCCTCAGCTATCATGCAAGGAAGCAAAAATCACATTAATCAGGACCAGAAAAGAAATGGCCAAGGTCTTTCTCATGCTGATCTAGTTTGCCTACTGTGGAGTAGAATGCAGTCATATAGGGAGGCTATATGAGCTGTATGACCTCTGTGTGCCCAGTGCTGCATCCCCTTACCAGCATATCTTGGGGTAAAGCACCACATTTAATTACCCCTTGGGCCCTTTGAATCCTGCCTGGGGGACTTACTCCACCTCAATAACTAGCATTTATCCAGGAATAAGATGTTTCTTCTTATTTGATTCATCTTCTGAGAGATGTCCCTTCTAGCAACTCACATTGTCCCAGAACCCAGGAGCTTTCAGCTGTCCCTGTAGCCAGTCTGAACACCTTTTCTCTTTTCAGAAGGTCACTCAATGTGGGCTTCCGTGAGCAGCAGCAGCAAGGAAACTATAGAGCCAAATTATACAAGCATAGAGCAGCTCTTTTGCTTTCCACAAGCAACCCCCAAAGAGAAAACGGCTGCACCAGTGAAGGCAGAACCGAAGGAGGTGAGGAGGTCCCTCTCATTCTTTAGGATAAAGATCACTACAAACAGCTCGTCTAATATGAGATATCTTCTTTTTCTTTAATGAAGATCACATTTTTGGACTCCAAGAAAAGTCTCAATTTGAACATATTTTTGAAGCAATTTAAATGGTAAGATATGGCAATTTTTTGTGACAGTTGACAAAGTTTTGAACAGGTTTTGCATAATATCTGAAAGGTCCTCATGAAATCTGTTTTAAACATTGATCTGTGTAACTGAAACATCGGAAGATTTCCTAGTTTCTCTTACACTGTCTTTAAAATACTAAATTTAGGGGCTTAGTTTTTAATTATGTTTTTACATACAACATCCCCATATGTTGGCAAAGGTGTTACATCTCCCTATAGGATGGTTTAACCCCAGCCAGCGGCTAAGCACCACTCGGCTGCTTACTCACTGCCCCCTCTGTGGCATGGGGGAGAGAACCAGAAGAGTAAAAGTGAGAAAACTCATGGGTTGAGATAAAGGCAGTTTAATAGATAAAGCAAAAGCTGCGCACACAAATGGAACAAGGAATTCTTCACCCCTTCCCATCAGCAGGCAGGCGTTCAGCCATCTCCAGGACAGCAGGGTTCCATCACACATAATGGCTATTTGGGAAGACAAAACATCGTAACTCTAAATGTCCCCTCTTCCTTCTTCTTTCCCCAGCTTTGTATAGCTGAGCATGACACCATATGGTATGGAATATCCCTTTGGTCACGTGGGGTCACCTGTCCCAGATGTGTCCCCTCCCGACTCCTTGTGCACTTCCAGCCTCCTTGCTGGTGGGGTGAGAAGCAGAAAAGTCCTTGAGTCCCTATAAGCACTTCTCAGCAGTAACAAAAACATCCCAATGTTATCAGTACTGTTTCCAGAACAAATCCAAAGCATGGCCTCATACTAGCCTCCATGAAGAAAATAACTACTCCAGCCAAACCAGCACACCATGTTACAGATGATATTGTAGCACAGACTTTTATGGTGATAGATTCTGAGACACCTCTGGAGGTCAAATCTCTCCTCAAAACAAGGGCAGTGGAAAAGTTAAGAATTAGATTTTCTTTTAAGGTATTCAGATCCCCAGAGACAGAGATCTGAGTTGCAGGATTGATCTCTAGCCTTGAGTCATTTGACCAGGGCCAGAATCAAATTTGGAGCATAGCAGGGATCCAGATCCCAGTTCTAAGTTCACAGAGACATATCATAGGGACACATCTTAGCTTGTGGATTATTATGGCTCTCACTAGGGAAAATGCAGGGAGCTTAAGCAGACACATGTCTTGGTAGTGTGCAGCTGTGGAAGAGGGGTCTTTGGGTGACATATCACTCTGCTCTTTCTCCCTACAGCTCCAACGAAGAGGTGGCTGCCATGGTCCAGAATGGGGACCGGACCAAGTTTGATGTTGAGGTTCTGAAGCAGTTGCTGAAGCTTCTGCCTGAAAAGCATGAGGTCGGAAGGAAAAATAGTAACCTTAGTTCCAAAGCTGAACATGCATTGCAGTCATGAAGTCTTGATTCTTTATTTCTCTCATTAGATAGAAAACCTGAAGGCCTTCAAAGAAGAGAAATCAAAACTAGCAAATGCAGATCAGTTTTATCTTCTCCTCCTTCAGATTCCAAGGTAAGGGTGTTGCTCATGAACTTCAGCCTAATCTTTTTCTTGGTTTACCTCTGGGAAGTTTGAGTTTCTTTATAGGATGCTCACAGACCAACACTGATGGATATAGCTGGTGGATTCCTCCTTCCACCCTAGAGCCATCCCTTTCCTCATTGCCCTCAGATGAAGGGCTGTTGTTGCTTCAGCACCTCCTCTCCCTCTGAAACAGCAGAAACTGGCCCAGACGCAGGGTCAGACTTGCCCAGAAGGAGGAACCTATATCTCACACAGTGATCAGTCTTCTCTTTGATCACAGTGTGTCAGCAGAAAATACATCCCCACTGGTTCCCAAGGCAAGAAGCAGCCCCTTGCCTCCCTTCACAAGACACAAACACTGGTGTGATGTGGATGTGGTTGACAGTGATGTTACAGGGTGGCCAGTCTTACCTGTGATGTGGGAGGAGGGCTGCTGTGCTGGCTGAGATCAGCCTTAAGCTTTGAATCAATCTCTTTCCTTAGCTACCAGCTGCGCATTGAATGTATGCTGATCTGTGAAGAGACCACTGTTGTGCTGGACATGATTCAGCCGAAAGCTGAAGCCATTCGGAGAGCCTGTGAAGGTAAATTACCTGGCTTTATGTCTGTATCTTATTCCTGACAGGAAGCTTTAAACCTCCCAAAGCTCCAGGGTGAGCTAGGCTACCCAGCCCCCAGAAAAACTCCTCTGTGGTTAATTCACTGGTGCACTGGGGTACAGCCTTAGGCATTTCCACTGATGGTCAAAGCCTTTAATAGGACCAGAGATCATTTTTCCACCCTCTTCATCCTCTTTTGCTGCAGCAGATGTGTTCCTCTGAAACATGTTCAACAGTGAAGCATTGGAAGCTCATCAACTCTTTCAGAGGAGCTGAATTCAGACAGCAGAGCTGGTCCCGTTACGGCTAATTCATCCATCACTAGTTGTCACATTAAGTCCTTCACATGGCAATTTTCTTTGCTGCCAAGAAAGCACTTTCCCCAGGAAGTAGTGATGCTTTAGTTTTTCCCTGCCTACAAATGGAATCAGAATAAAAAGTTTGGTTTTGGGTGCTATAATTTGCAGATGCTCAATTATTGTGTGTACATGGAGAGATCGTGCAATAGGTTTTGGCTTCATACGGCAGAAACCTCAGGTTCCACTCTGCTGAGAGCAGGATGCTGGTTTGACACTATCAGGTGCTGTCAATGTAACAGAGCCAGTTCCCCCAGCTGCCTGCTGGGGGGTTTCTCCAGCTGGCATCGCTGCTGCCTGCTGGAATGAATTGAAGCTTCCCCCTAAAAGTGTGCCCATGAGCCCAGTTGTCCTTTCAGACCTGTTCCTGCCTCAAAGCCAAGTGCTTCAGAAAGCACACCACTTCAACACCCTGTCATAAGAGCAAGGACAAGGACTGTATCCTTCATGCCCTGATAATCACCTCCACCATGCAAAATCAAGAACAAGGTGAGCGTGTCTGGTTTTAGCAGCCAGCCAATAATCACAGGGCTGTCAGAACTGGTTTCACTGCACAACTGAATGGAATCTGCAAGATTAAAATTGCAGCCCATTTACCCTTGCTTACACCACGGTAAATCAGAGTACTTCCAAACAAGGCAGCAAGTTGATGGCTGTGAGTGAGGGCGCTCCAACTCCAGGTTATTTTTCATTAGGTTTGAGAGACCAGGTGGAAAGGAAGAAAGAAACTTAAGTCAACGTAAACTTTTACAGGTCATGGAATTCATAGAATCATAGAATGGTTAGGGTTGGAAAGGACCTTAAGATCGTCAAGTTCCAACTCCCCTGCCATGGGCAGGGACACCTCGCTCTAAACCATATCACCCAAGGCCTCGTCCAACCTAGCCTTGAACACTGCCAGGGATGGAGCATTCACAACCTCCCTGGGCAACCCATTCCAGTGCCTCACCACCCTCACAGGAAACAATTTCCTCCTTATATCCAACCTAAACTTCCCCTGTTTAAGTTTTAACCCATTACCCCTTGTCCTATCACTACAGTCCCTAATGAAGAGTCCATCCCCAGCATCCCTATATGCCCCCTTTAGATACTGGAAGGCTGCTATGAGGTCTCCACGCAGCCTTCTCCAGGCTGAACAGCCCCAACTTTCTCAGTAGGACCAGTTTCTCTGCAGGTTGGGCCATTGGGCTTCAAAGCTGAAATATGAGATTTGAATTTAGATTTTGGAATTCAGAACCCCTATTCCAGTGTGGTTTAGGAAATATTCTGGTGTAACAGAGGCTTTTGTTTAAAAGTCCTTTATGTTTTTCAGATCTTCTGAACAGTCATCGCCTGCCGCTCTTTTGTCAACTGATTCTCAAAGTTGGAAACTTCCTGAACTATGTAAGTACTTTTTTTGTCTTCTCCTGCCCCCATTATGATGTGTGGGTGGCCTCCTTTAAGGTTGTCATTTAAATGGACACAGGAGTTACATCTGCTTTTTTTTTATCTTGTAGGGAAGTCACACGGGCGATGCTGATGGGTTTAAAATCAGCACTTTACTCAAACTAACAGAAACCAAAGCAAACCAAACCCGCATTACACTGCTGCACCACATTCTGGAGGTACAAATGCCAAGTCCTGGGTGATAGGGAAGGGGGAGAAACTTTATCATGAATGAACCATTTCTCCTACTCTACTTTCAGTTAAAGCCACACTCTCATATTCATATCCCCTCTGGCTGGCTGCAGAGTGTCACAAGCTGGGAATGTTGGAATTACTTGGTGGAGGCTGCTTGTGGGCACTGCTCAGGAAGCTCTTTGTTTTAAGATTTGTTCTGCTTTCCTCTAGCATCTTTCCCCTCAATGGCTGGAACTTCCTTTTTCATATTTGTGCAATCTGCACGTCATCAGCTGCAAACCACAGAGCACATGGCCACCAAAGCTATCCTGGCTGGTCTGTACCCATTCAGCCCTTCTGCCTTTCTACAGCCTCTCCTCTCTCCATGAGACTGTGCTTAAGCTTTTGTTGTTTCTCTCTAAGCCCCAACTGCTTTCTTGCTTCCTAAATCGCTGTTTTTAGCTTTTTTCTCTGTGCTCTGCTCTGCCACCTTCATTCATTAAAGTCCCTCCATTGCAGTTACACATGTTCAAGCCCTGCTTTAGCCAGCAGTAGCTTCAGCAAGCACAGCCATGATGCAAATAAGATTCAAGCCCTTTTGAAACCCTTCTGGAACTGTAGAAAGTGTCCAACTGCATCAAACCACAGTTCTGTCTCCTCCCACGGTCAACAGTAGGCGTTTCAGGAGAAGGAGAAAAAGAATTTAGCAGCAGGTCAGCTTTGCTTTGAACTATGAGTATTTCTGAACATTCAGCCCTCTTGTATGGTTTTATAGCCCAGGAGTAATACCTTTCCCCTCTGAATGTGCCATACTGTTTTGAATGTGTCTTGGCAAACTGCAGAGGAGGGGCAGCAGCAGGACATGGCACAGTCCTCCTTCTCAAGCACTTTTGCCTGTGTCTTTTCTCCTCAGCTTCCTCTCTTAGCTCCTGCTACAGCAAGTAACACTTCTTTCTCTCTTCTGCTTCAGGAAGTAGAAAACAGCCACAAGGACCTACTGGAACTGCCAAAGGATCTTGAATATGTTTCAAAAGCAGCAGGGTAAAATTGTGTGTCTTCAAAATAAAAATAAATCCCATACACATCAACAATGTACCAGAAATTAGGACACACACAGCTGGTATAGCACATTAAAGAAATAGCATCTTACTTAGTTTTAACTGAAAGATTTGGCTGATGAATGTTGAAAGCCCTTTAATATAGAATAGTTCTACCACAGCTGGCAACACTTAGGGCTGAAATTTGCAGAGCATTAAACGAATGCTGCCTCCCAGGCCCTTCCAATATCTGCACTGCCTTTGTGGTACCAGGAACTTATGAAGGCCAGCTACCCAGAAATGCCTTCAACCAGGGAAAGCGAGCTAATGCCAAGCTCTGGGGGTGGAGAACAGCCCTTTGAATAGGTGGGCTATTGACAGTACATAAAACTGTAGGTAGACCTGGCAGCCTTTTCATCGGTGCTGTTGGAGGGAAGCTGTTTTCTGTGAGCTCAGACTGTATAGATAGTTCAGATCTCAGGCTTCAGTTCAGTGAAGTGATGGGAAGCAGAGAGACAACCAAGCTGCCAGCTCAGACCTGTCCATTCTTTGGCCAGCGCAAGGTGCTGGAGTGTCAGCTAATGGGGGGATTCTGTGGTGGTTTCAGAATTAATCTTGATATTATACGCACGGAGTCCAGTACCAATTTAAAGAAGTTGCTGGAGCTTCAGCGAAAAGTCTTATCATCAAACGACGATGTGAAACAACAGTATGAGAAACCTATCCAGGTCAGTAATGGAGCTCTGTTGTATCTCTCCCATTACACACACACAGGCAGTGTGCAATACATGTGCAGCTGAGTAAGCTCATGGAGGGTGGAAAATATTGCTAGGAAACATGCTCTCAGATTTGGAAATAGGCTGCAATGCCACACAACCCATTAGTGTCTTATTGCCAGCTCCACCCCAGACCCAGATAACCTTTGGTGAGGCCACTTCCTAAGGCCCCAACTGTTCTCACCACATGGTGTATGACTTCACTGAGTGAGGTTGTTCACCCTCTAGGTGGATCACAGAGTAAAGCCCTTCAGCTGGGATTAAGCTTTGTATTGAGCTTATCATGTCTTGCCCAAGCCACCCTTGTAAATTGGCACAGCACGGTTGCCAGGGGCAAATGTCATCTGGAATTCTTAGTTTCTCCCCACATTTTAAGCTCTGATGCAGATAAATCTGCAGCCTACTCCAAGCTCTTAACACTGACATCCTTCTTCCTTTAAGTGCACTTCACTCCTTGTCCTCTGGATGGTGTTTTACTGTGTATATTAAATGCATTTCAGGATAGCATTGATGCCTCCAGAAAGCTAGAAGAAGAATTTGAAACCATTGAAAGGAAGAGAGAAGAACTTGCAAATTATCTTTGTGAAGACCCAAGCAAGTTGTCATTAGAGGACATATTTAACACCATGAAGACCTTCAGAGACCTCTTCCTCCGAGTCCTAAAGGTTGGCATCTGCACACACAATGCTGAGCATCCCTAGTACTGGTGCATGCCTCTTCTCTGACAGCGGTGGGACAGGCACCCAAATCCAGTGAGGGGAAGATGCTGGTTATGGCTCCTCCTTTCAGTGCTTCGCATGACATCACCCAGTGAAGAGGTGTCTGATCCCTACTCCACTGCATCCTCATTCAGTGCTGGTGCTTCTGGCCTGGCCCAGACCCTGGTGTTTTGGGATTTTGGTGCAACTTTAGCTGCAGAGTCACAAAGGTGCTTTGGAGTCAGGTGCGACTTGACTCCGGTCAAGTGTCAAGTTTTAGAGGAAGTGGCTAATAAAACTTAACCCTTTACTCCAACCTGAGCAACAGACTCAGAAAAGGGATGTGTAGTAAAGAAGCCATCAGTTTAGAGGGAATTGTGGCTTCAGTACTTTCCACTTTTGTCTCAGCTAAAGGTCAGGTGGAAGATCTGCACACTGGTAGGTAGCTGTGTTGGACAGCTCACCACTGCCACCTCCCACTGGAATGTGGCTGAGTCCTGGCCAAGCCCAGTGGTGTTGGCTTTTGGCAAGACAACCCCTATTCCCTATGCCCATTTTATTTACTGCACAGGATAAGGTCAGAATTTCTCATCCTCCCTTGCAACAATCTCTGGATCTTTCTTTTCATCAGCTTCTCTAGCAGACATTGCCAATCTTCTCATGCCCCTGTTACCTCACTGCAGGAGAACAAGGACAGAAAGGAGCAAGCTGCCAAAGCAGAGAAGAGAAAGAAACAGCTGGAAGAGGAAGAAGGGAAAAGACAGAAGGGAGAAAATGGAAAAGTCAGTGAGTATCTGAAAGGACTTCAAAAAAGAGAGATGACGCTGAGAGGAGCTCTTTTCTGGCCCTGCTTTAATGGACCAGCAGTGGTAATTTATTTTGTGGCTTTCTACATGCTGCTGACTAAAGGCTTTTAGCTTTAAAGTCTTTCAGCCATAGCTGAGAACTGATATTTCACAGTTGTAGCTGGGCAGACAAGTTAATTTTAGGTTTGCTGACTGAACAGCAGAAAAAAAAAATCAAATTGAAACATTTCAGTTAACTTTTCAGTTTCTAAACATAATTTTTGAATCCCAGATCTTACAAGAAACATTTGACTTTCCCCACCTCTGAAATCCCCATGTACGCTTGAATAATCTCTCTTTACCACAGACTACTGATGTCCCAAAAAACATAGAATCTTAGAACAGTTAGGTTTGGAAAGGACTTCAAGATCATGTAGTTCCAACCCCCCTGCCATGGGCAGGGCCACCTCGCTCTAAACCATGTCACCCAAGGCCTTGTCCAACCTGGCCCTGAACACTGCCAGGGATGGAACATTCACAACCTCCCTGGGCAACCCATTCCAGTGCCTCACCACCCTCACAGGAAAGAATTTCCTCCTTATATCCAATCTAAACTTCCCCTGTTTAAGTTTTAACCCATTACCCCTTGTCCTATCACTACAGTCCCTAATGAAGAGTCCCTCCCCAGCATCCCTATATGCCCCCCTTCAGATACTGGAAGGCTGCTATGAGGTCTCCACACAGCCTTCTCTTCTCCAGGCTGATCAGCCCCAACTTTCTCAGCCGGTCTTCATATGGGAGGTGCTCCAGTCCCCTTATCATCCTCGTGGCCCTCCTCTGGACTTGTTCCAATAGTTCCATGTCCTTTTTATGTTGAGGACACCAGAACTGCACACAGTACTCCAAGTGAGGTCTCACAAGAGCAGAATAAAGGGGCAGTATCACCTTCTTCGGCCTGCTGGTCACGCTCCTTTTGATGCAGCCCAGGATACAGTTGGCTTTCTGGGCTGCAAGCGCACACTGCTGGCTCATGTTCATTTTCTCATCGACCAGCACCCCCAAGTCCTTCTCCGCAGGGCTGCTCTGAATCTCTTCTCTGCCCAGCCTGTAGCTGTGCCTGGGATTGCTCCAACCCAGGTGTAGGACCTTGCACTTGGCTTGGTTAAACTTCATGAGGTTGGCATCTGCCCAGAAATCCTGCAGGTAACTTCAATCTGTATTTCTCTGGGTGAAAACAAAAGGCACAACTGAAAAGTACATTTGAAAGCAGCTGAAAGGAAAGTCTTTATTATTTTCCCGCCAAAAAAAAAGGCCGCCACCAACATGGATAGCAAGCAGGAGGTTTTTCAATGTCGTGGTACAACCAGGCACAAGCCTGGGCAGAGCTGGTGCCAGCTTGTAGCACCCAGAGTTTGGGGTATACCTTTTGACTTCAGAATGGGCACACTGCTGTGGGGGCACAGAGCCTGGGCTGCTGCCAGGCCTGGCATTGGTGCCTTGGTTTTGCCCAGTGGTTGCTTGTTCCAGCACAGCAGTACCAACCCCAAGCAATAACATCACTGCAAAGTCTCCTTCTGCCCCACCTCATGTGCAGATTTAACACCCCAATCTGTCTCTCTCCCAGTTAAGAAGGGGGTGGTGAAGCAGGAGGAGGTGTGTGTCATCGATGCGCTGCTAGCTGACATAAGGAAAGGGTTCACGCTGAGAAAGACAAAGAACAGACACGAGTTGGATGCAAATCCTAAAGCCTTACCTGCAGAGGGCCCGAAGGAGAGCCAGTCTGGTAAGAACACAGACACTACTGTACCTGCAGCTATTCATTCCCATTTGTCTCTGAGCCTGAGCCAAGCACATAAGCAAGAAGCCTTTGTGTTTGTATTTAGGGCATTTTATTTAAGGAGGCTTTGCAGCCGGTGCTGTGGAGAAGAGCAGAACCCTGAACTGTTGCCGGCCAGGTCTGCCCCATAATTAGCAATTTAGAGCAGTATGGCCTTGTACCCATGCTGATAAACCCTCTGAGGTTTGCCCGCAGGTCAGCCACACAACCATGCTGATGAGGCACTGGTGTCATCCCCACACAAGTCCCTTCTATGCTATCAAGTCTCAGTAGCACAGCTTGTCACTGCCTTGGAGCTTGCTGCACCCTGTCTTAGTCTCTTTGGGAGCCGAAAGAAGCCCTTAAAAAACAGATTAAAAACCTCTTAATTACAGAAAGACCTAAGTCCTTATGTGCTTATTAGGAAACAGCCCTTGGGTTTAGCTTTTCTTTGGTCTTTTGACCTTGTCAGTGCACATTAGGTAAGTCTAAGGACATTGGCCTGCCATAGAACCTGAGTTGTGCACTGTGGCTCTGCTAAACCTGCTCTGAAAGGGCAGGATTAGGCTGGCTGATGGGCAGTTTTGAAGTGCTCATGCAGCCAAGCCAGCAATCCCACCTGGTTCTGGACCTCGCAGGCGGGTTCCCTCTTCCTGCCATAGGATTTCAGGCACCCTTGGGAGTTCAGGAGCTTCCATGGAAAGCAGAGCTCCCCTGCGGCAGGCTGAGCAGAGGCTTTGCTGAGCTGGAGCCTTGGATTCCACCTGGGGTGGCCACATGGGATATAAGGAGGATAAAATGGTGCTGCCTTTGCACAGCTTCTTTAGGGGCAGTGCACCCTCCCCAGGCAGCTGCTAGCTCATAGTAAGCATTCCCAGTGGCAGAAACACATTGGTTGATCCCAGATGCAACTCTGCAGCTGTGGCTGATTGCATGTTTCTTGTTCAAAGGAAACGGCATTAAGGATCCACAAGCATCAGGAAAGGAGATGGATGATAAGACCAAGGAAAACAAGGATGGTCATCCCTCAGAAAGCACTTCCCCATCAAACACTGCCTTGATGGAGGTGGGTGGAGACGTTACAGATGCTTCAGCTTCAAACCAGGCGTTATCTAAACACAGTGCTGGAGATTTGCCACCAGAGACCCAGATGGAAAGCCCCTCAGTAAGCTTGGTAGAAGCTGATGGGGCCAGTCAGCCCATGCCAGGCACTGGGATGAAGCAGGCAGACAGCTGGGCAAGCCTCCAGCCAAGCACAAAGGGCGGCTCCATTGCCTTCTCTACTGCTAACATGGGCACAGGGATAACGTTTGTGAACAGTAGTTCCGCCACTGCTCCGAGAAACCAACACAGATGGACCAGCGGGGCCATCTCAGAAGGCCAGGACAAGGAATGCCCAGCTGATGGCTTGGAGTGCTACGGGCTGGTGCAGGAGCCAGAAACCCAGCTGAACAAGAGCGGGGTTGACCCTGGCAGCACTCAGTCTGCTCTCTGTGGGTCTCATCAAGCAGAGTCAAAAGAGATGGTGAAGGAAAATGAAGACCCTGGTGCAGACTCACTGTTGGATATGTCTCAAGAGAAGTCCTTCTCGGAGGAGCCAGCCACTGACTCTTCTTGTTCAGCAACACTTCCTCCAGAGCAAACTCACACCGACAGGGAAAAGCAGAGGTCATCTGGGAAAAGGAGGAAGAAGAAGAGGCACAGCAAAAGCTATTCAGGTAGCCTATTTCTCATATAGTGCTTAGGGACTAGTTAAACTGGGGAAGCTTCCTCCTATATTTGTATACATCTGTTCCTCCCCACTTCAAGGTCCAATGCCCCCTGCCCCTAGAGTCACACTGTTTCATGGAGCTGTTTTTTTCAAAACCTGAAAGAGACTGAAAAAGAAAAACACAGGCATAGTTCATTCTCTTGACATTTACAAGTAGTTCATAAAAGGGTAATGATGAATCAATAATTAAAAAGCCCATTACATGTAAGCAGTAAAGATGGCAATAAGCACATCTGTCAAGTGTGCTAAAGACAGCTACAAGGCACGGTTATGTGCAAACAAGAGCCCCATTAGACTCCAGAGCAGTGATTAAGAGCAGTTAATGCTGCGTACTTAATCAGCCATAACCTCCTCCCAGCTACTTACAAACACATAAAGGCAGCAACATCAGTGCTGCCCTGGGGTTGCTTGTTTTTTCCTCTCCTAAAGCCTCCTTGCAACAACATTGATAGCCTGCCACAGGGGGACTTAGGTGGGTCCTGAACTTCAGGCCCTCAAATCATCACTGAAGGAAGAGGGGAGAAAGTCAGCAATTAAAAAAGGTGATCTTGCTGATGCTTCTGTGAAGGATCGGATTTGGCCAGCCAAATCAATCCTTTACACTGGGTTGCCCCAGTACTGGGTACTGGGAGAGAGCTGAGCCACAGGAGGCACGGAGCCACCCAGGTCTCTGCCTCATGGAAGATGTCCGCTGCTGGTCCCGAGCCTGGGAGGTGAATCCAAGTCCCTCAAAGTCTACTGAGCTGAAGCCACCGTTGGGTGGGTACCTGAATCCTAAAACAGAGGTGTCTCACAGGGAGTACACATGGGTCTGTCAGCCTTTAGAAGGACACAATATACTGTCCAAAGCCTGTTTTCTGCAAGATCCTGGTCAAACAACTGGGCAGAAAAGTGGTGGAAGTGTCTTTTTATCAATGTTTAATGGTTTTCTTTCCAAATAAAGTGAAGGAGAAAGGAAAGAGGGGTTTGACTACCCACTGCTCAGAAAGATGAGCATCTACCACTGAGGGACTTACCTTATAATGCCAGTATGCCCTGCAGCTGTAGTTTTTTACATTTCTAAACTTGCCACTTTCACAAACCAGAAGTGGTTTCTGTGGAGCAGTGGTTCCCAAACTTGCTTCCCACAAGGCAGCAGGAGCTGCAGCAATGGAAGCAGCCCATGCTCCCAGCATGGAACCACGTGACGATGCTTTCCTGACATCCTAAATGAGTATTTCTGGCTCAAGGAGCTGACTCCCCTAAAAGCCCCAGGATTCCCTGGGCATCCAGGGATGGCATCTTAGTAAACTCTCTGCTACTAGACAATGTTTTCATCATAAAAAGTTCCCTGTTGTTTTATTTGCCTTGCCATGATCAGATGTATTTAGTGTCTCTCTTTTGTTTAAAAGCAGAGGTTGAGACTGATACTGGAGATAATAAAACAAAAAAAGGTTGTGTGGTACAATGAGGTATGTAACTCACAAAGGTGTTTTTACGTGAACTAACCACAGCATTGGGACTTTACAGACCTAATCAGTATTCAGCATATTAGCTAAGCTTTTTGTCCTTGTGTCTAATCACAAATACATGTAAAATAAATTTGTTACTCTGACTTTTCCTCTCCAGGGTGTTGATCTTGTGTTGAGTGGAGTCAGTGCTGACCTCCCCTTGACACAGGGTCACAGCCCACATGTCTGTCTTCTGTGTCAGCAGCCACCAAACCACATTTCCCTGCAGATAATTAAAAGTCATTACTCTAACCAAGTGAATCCAGCTTCATGTGATAAAGAGCCTTTGCTTTGATCCCATTATTTTCTTAAAAACTGTAAAAATGCAATTTCAGTACCTACTCCTTGCAAAGTACAATGTTTGGTTTGCTTGCAGGTGATCACTTCCTATAGCGCTGTTTAAATACAGGTACCTGGAAAAGGGAGTAGAACACTGAACCCTGGGAGAAGTACTAGTTGGGCAATACACCAGCTCCCACTCAAAGCTAAATTCAATTCTAGACTTGCACACAGACTAGTCCATTGGAGCAAACAGGCTGTGCATGCTTCTTATATGCATTCATGCAGCTTTCTGGGATGGGGGTGGGGGTAAGTCGTTTGGTTTTTGTTACCAAAAAAAATAATACAGGTAACCAAATTTCTGCTGAAACTGTGTACCAAGTTTGCTACATCCTTCACTGATGCTGGCAACATATAACTGCTTCTCAGAAGAAAACTTGAGGAGTTTCAGAATGAGATTTTCATTTGCAAAACTTTGCCTGTTTTTACAGCAAGTAGAAAGAAAAGCATGAAAAATAAACAATCGAAATACCCACTGTACTGAAATTGCATAGTTACGCATTGTCCTTTCCATGCTGATGAGCATCTCTTATGAGCTGAATCAATAACTTCAAACCTCCCTCTGTCTCATTTCCTGAAAGGAATGTATTTATTCTTCAGTTCCCCCAGAGCCTGGGGGCCCAGCTGGGAGCCCTCTTCCCACACGTGGCTCCAGCCCCTGGGGTGGCAGAACTGAGGAATCTGCAGGATTTCCACACAGGGTTGCTTTTGTTCCTTCACCTGGAGCATCATTGCTAACAAGAGAAAATGAGATACTAATTAGGTAGTTACAGTCCTGACTACTCCTGCCCTCCTGTTGGCCCTTTCTGTGATGTACTGCAGGATTATATCAAGTGGAAAAGGGAAGTAGCTCTGTTGGTTTAAAAGTCCTAAGGAAGATTTACTGCAAGAGCAGAAAATCGTAGCAGTGAAGCATAAGGAAGAAGTATGTCAGGACCCATGCCCAGGGAGGGCAGCTGAAACTGTGAGTTAAGCATAATTCACATTATGTATTTTTTAAGCACAGGGATTCCAACATGCCTAAAACCAGTCCCAATTGAAAAAAAAAAAAAAAAGACGCAAACAGCTCTGCATTCTCCTTAGCAGACATAGGAAAGCAACACAGAGAAATGCATGGACAAACAGTATGTTTATGAAGGACTGAGACAGGCAGGAGTTCCAGCGCATCCTCAAAATGCAGTGCCTGGCACAGCTGCATTGCATCAGCAGCACCCACCTGTGCTTTGGTGCCCAGAGGGCAGTGACGAGCTGCACCTTGAAACCTGCAATTCCCTTGTTCCTCTCCACCCATCCTTCTGTCACTTGGAAAGGTTAGCCGAAACAAAAACCTGTTTGCTTCTCTTAAATCTGCAGCTTCCTTACTCAGATGGAGCTCAAGACAGACTTAGCAAGCCTAGAGTGCTGCCATCAATATTTTTTCTAGGATGTTCTACATGATTTGGTTTTTTGTTTTCTTTTCTGTCCCAAGCACACACGGTCTGGTCTGGTCAGGTCACAGCACCAGTTCTCTTTTCATACAGGATGTTTCTCTCTGGTGGATTTGCTGGATGTGGAAGTTGATGGGTCTCAGTGAAGTTGTAGGAATCTTCTTTCTTCCTGCGCAGATCCAGCTGCAAGGATTAAGACTCAATCCCCTTACCAGTTTTTAGAGCTTCTGTAACAGCAGCAGAGTAAGGGCCTGTGAAATAATATTTCAGAGCAGTAAAACACTGTTATAATCAGGAATGGAGCTCTTGCCTCACCTTGACTGTATTTTGTTAAGCAGCAATTTCTGTATTGATATTCTTCAAATGTCAGCTTTTACACCCAAAGAGTGGTATCCCACATTATCTCCGTATTCCTGGAAGAATGGTTTAGCTGGTTTTTCTGTGGTATCAAGGCACTGGTGTCACACTCTGTGTGCACCCTGTTAACACCTGAACTCATTTCCTACCAATCTGAAAGAGCTTGAAGAAGCACCATTTAACAAAAGCTGACAGTCAAACCCAGAAGGGACTGCACAAATGCCTGAACTCAGGGGAGGTGCTCTTTGAATTCCCTTGACTTAAACCCCAGAAGATTGCTACAGACAAATGTTCGCATCTGTTTGTGCAGCTCCTTTTTCCTCTCCTCCCATCTTTATGTCACTTAGGGAAGTTAGGGGAAATAAAGTCTTGAAAGCACAAGTCTGTAAGCAGCCAGGCTTTGACAGTTTCCCTGCTCACAAATCTACTTGATTTATTCCCTATGAAATAAAAGGACAAACCAAACTGGGAGCAGAGGCCAGTGCTTGAAAACCACAGCCTGGTAAGGATGGAGGCAGAGGGCAGGAGGGAGCACAATACTGTCTGTCAGCAGCCATGACAAATACATGGCACAGTAGGACATCAGCCTCTTCCCACAGACACATCAGGATTTGAGGGTCAAGGGTTTCCTTTTTTTTTTCTTTTAAATTGTCTTCTTTTAATACTACAGAACAGATGCTTCACATCTGCTTTTGCATACTCAGTATTGTCTGTGAGCAGTTTTCTTACAGACCATGGTAATGCAGCCAAGCTAATGGTCATCTTCCTGTATGGCCTTTGCCTTCACATCTGTCATTAGAAATGGTATTTGTTTTGGTTATGAGTGAGACAAGCTTTTAAAATGATAGTGTGCAGCCCCATCCTTCTGACAGTCCTGCTAAATCCTCTAGGTTTAGTAAGTTCAGCAATTTAATACCTAGAAGTGTATTCCAGTATTCTGCTTGGAAAACATAAGACTCATGTTGTTGGACTGAACTAGCACCCAGCTTAAAAGCAGAGTCGCCCAAAATCTTGAACATCAGAATCAGTTCTGGAAACACAAAGGTTTTATTAGGAACATAAACATTTAGCTCTACCTGGGTTTAGGTTATCGAAGGAACCTGAGTCTGATTTCCCTAATAGCACGCTGACCATTAGATACACGCACATGCAAAACCATACGGCTTTTGTCTTATAGTTACAAACAGTTTGCATTTTCCCCTCCTCCTGCAGGTGTCACAACAAGGCAGAAGAAATAACAGAGACCTAGTGAACCACTCACGTGTTCTAAGAGCGCTGCCAGCTTTTCAGAAGCCAGGTTCTGCATCGCCAAAACGCCACCGTTGTCACCTGCCCAATAGGACTCACTGCTTCTCTTCGTGCAACCTTTTGCTCCCTCCCCAAGACCCAGAGAGCCTCCCTGGAGACTTTGGACCCCTCGCCTCATGTCTCATGCTGGGCACTCCCGGGGCTGGGGGGCCAGTTCTGTGCACTGTGACATGAAAGGGTCAGAGCTCTCATCTGCTGCCCTGGAAACCAAATCTTTCAACCTGCTCTTAGGCCAAACTCCACTTGAAACAACAGCTGACTGTGGCCCAAGAAAGGACCTCAGTGTTTAGTCCTCAGAGAAATCTTAAAAATAGCAGTGCCTCAACTAAAGTAGGGTATAAATTAAGCAGTGTCTGTACCATCACAGGTGGAAGCATGTTAACTTCCTCTTCTCATCACCCACTGACAATTTATATAGGACCAGATCCAAGACCCAGATCGGACAAAATTATTTTTACTCTCAATCATTTAAACCCAGGGAAATTGGTTACAGGAGAAAAAAAAAAAAGTGTATTTTGGTAAACATATGGCCATATGAACAGTGTCTGGTTCTACATGATGCTTATGTGCAAGTAAGTTGAAGCACATCAGTAGTCTTGCAGTATTCTTAAACACACAGATGCATCCATGAACTTTCAGAGATCCAGGGCCCCAGTTCCTCTTATTAAAGCAACAGAGGTTTTCCAGAGTGCTTTATCAGACACATTTCAGCTCATCCTTTGGTAGATCTCTGGGTTTGAATTCTGTTGTCAGCTGCTTGCACTCGATATTCTTCATGTCCAAGCTGTAGAATGTGTAGATTCATGTTACTTTTGCTTTAAAACTGGGAATGTGCAGTATTGTGTTTTCAAAATTCAGAGATTTATTAAGTTTTGTAATAACATTGTATCATAGTTTTGTACATAGCTGTCAGTTTAAAATTATCCATGTTTTGAATCTATAGTGTGATACTGTGCTGAAACATGAATCAAGTGGAAGAGCTGGATACATTTAAGAACTATGCCTTTATATGGTAACTCACTGTGGCTAGACTAATGTTCAGGCTAAAGCTTATTTTGCTTTGCTTAACAGGAATTATTCTTGTAAAAACTTTTCTGGACTAAGTTGGAAGTTAAATCAAGAATTAAATCACTGGTTTATTTTAACCAAAGCATTGGCATTAGCATATTGAGAATCGGTAAACAAAGCAGAGATGCGCTGAGAGCAGGCACATGGGCAGCTTCAGTTCAGGAGACCCCACAGAGTGGCACAGCCCTTTGTCAACTGAAATTCCATTCCCAGCTGGCAGAAGCAGGCAGAGCCCCACCATTTCCTGGATAATCACGTAACCCACCTCAGGCTTGACTTGCAGGACTGGCTCTATCACATTCACAGGTTTTCCCATTTGTTTTTTCCTCTTTTTCTGTCTCAGAGCACATCACCCAAGCATCATCCTTTTGCTCTTTAGTCTGGCTTCTCTGCTCTCAGATTAGACCTCAGGCTTCAAAAATCTGAGTATTAAACAGATTTTCTCAGCAATTTTGCAATCTCTGTTTCTGCTAGCCCAGGCTAGCCAGCCTCCTCCTCCCTGCCCTACTGTTCTGTCAATAGGAACATCATTTGGAGATTCAAGACCCAGGAACAAACAGACTTTCTGGGTGTTACCTAGGGAACCTTACCTGCTAATGCTCTGCAGACTGCTTGCTTCAGCAGGTGTCCACTTCTGTCTGGGCCTTTCAGCTATCCCCCATTTCTACCTAGAGAGAGAAGCTCTTTCCACACAGCCAGAAATTTTGTTGCTGTGTTCTTGCCTTGGCCCTCAAAGACAGGGTGCTTGGCATTATCTTTCCACTGCCCTCAAGGATTTATGAAAAAATGGGTTATTTTGAGCCATTGCCGGTTGTTTCATAGTCATCTGTGAAAACTATGTTAAATTATCATATCCCAGTCATATCCCAATATGCAGGCTGAATCACAGCATTTATAATTTATTACTCCAGAGCAGCTCTGCTTCCATTACAGTGACTAAGAAAAACAGAGGGACAGAACTAAAGCAGGTCAAAGAAAGATGTTCAACTGGGATGTGCAGTTTCACTCCATTTTTACCTTAAAATAAAGTTCATGATCCTGAAGATTTTTCAGTGTTTGCAAGGCTAAATTAACTGCTGGTATAAATGTTACTTGCAGCTACTTGAACAGGTCTGTGGTCGTTTAAGTCAACAATGAATCTGGACCTCAGGAAAGATTTTTTTCTGGTATATTACAGCAACTGCACCTGGAGTCCAGTATGTAAACCAGGCTGTGAATGCCACAAGTTTCCAGCTGCCAAATAACTGTGTATTCCTTAACTAAGCATTGATTATATGATAAAATGAAGCTATGAAAGATACCAGCATAAGTCTGTTCCAAGTATTTCACATCAGAATTCACACGTGTTTATGAGATGGATTTTTAGGGTTAGTTTTCTGGGGGTTTTGGTTTTATTTTTTGTTTTGTTGTGGGGATTATATTTTTTTTTTTTATTTCAATACTGAAAAACCATCAAAGTTTAGAATAAAATAAGTATTTGATAAGTTCCCTTTCTCTTGTGGGAATGGGGAAGACCTATGATTCACCAGAACTTGTCCATCAAAGTCCTATATTTTCCACATAGTTTATAAGGCACCTAAGCATATAATTGTCCTGTATGGTTAGTAATAATTACCCTTGTTTTCTCTCAGAGAAACAGTGGTGTGTAAATGGAGCTATACCTAGTACATGAACACCACCAGTGTTGCACTGTACTTAAAGCACAGCTGAAATCTGTGTCCAAAGGTATGCCAGTATCTTTTAGTTTGGGCATATCGTTTGGTCTTCTACATTCAGTAGAGAATGTATTTCACAGAGGGGGCTGAGAAATGCCTTCTGTACTGCTTAGAAAGAGAGATGAAATAAAAATGCAGAAGCCCATTTCAGCAAAATTAACCAGTTTTCATTCTGTCCAAACATGAAGCCTGGATCTACAGTTTCATATTTCTAGGTTTTTGTACACAGCAGTCAACTGAGGACAACATACAAGCTCGCCAGTACTAAAAGTCAGCACTGTACCAGTCTTATTCTATGCGGTAATAGTCACAGCCATGAAATATGGGTGAACATGTTATTTACGTTCACCTAATGTATCTGAAAGCAAATACAGTCATGAGCCATCACAAACCACATTTTGTTTGGTCAACTCATAATCAGGCTGTGGATGGGATATGAAAGACAGCCTTGCCATATCTAGAAAAGCAAATAAAGAGAGTTAAAAATGGGACGGTGGTAATAACAGGACCTCTCTAAGTGACTGCAGTTACTACACAGTAACAGTCTTGCAGACTAACAGCATTGCTTTCAGGATTTGCAATGGAAATAAGATCCACAGTACAGAAGGCTTCCAGCTCCTTAGTGTAGAGCAGGTAGCAGACCGTATATACTAGTGGAGAATTTAATCACTGCAAGTTAATCAGCATATTCAACACTGTAAGCATAAGTCACTCCTCTATGCATTCTGTGCTAGTACTTAATTCACATTAGGGACTCTCCAGCAGTCTCTTTGCTGCAGCGTGAACAGCTCTTGTCAGAACGGTGTGTGACAACTCACACAGAGACAGGTGTCAATAGGAATTAGGAGGAAGTATGCTCTTCTGCCATGGAGACTTTAAACAGACTCAGTTTACATGACTCAAAGTCAGAAGACAAGAATCAGTCTGTGATAGTCAACTCTTACAAAATCAGTTTAGATACACTCCAGCCTGTCCAAGCAGACTTTTTCTAGGATCAGTAGTCTTTGCTGGCAACATCTACATTATGGTTATGGTTAGTTTGCTGTGCTCTGGGCATGCAGAACCCTATGTGTTAGCACTTACACAGCTTCATACAACATAATCTGTGATGAGTTTAGTCAGGAATTAGTGACAATTAATTACAAAATCCATTAGACTAAATGGAGAAAGTCAGAACTACTACAGAGAGATAGTGTTTGTGCAAGAATAGGCAGCACAGGCAAAAAAGGTAACATCTTACAATGTCTGCTGCTGCGATCCTTCAAAACCTTCAAAAACTCTATTTTGTAATCTAAATGAAACCCCCAATAGCACACAATTTCCAGGAGCGATCCTTTGAGAGCAACAGATCTTTTTTGTACTCTTTGCCATGTTTTATTATCTTCATTCTTCAAGGTTTTCACAGCCCAACTAGACAAAAAAATAGCTGATCTGATCTGTTGTGGTGGTAATAGTCCCTGAAGGGGAGCTTGAGCAAGACCGTTTTCAGGGTGCCCCCAGCCAACATTTCTTTGATTCTCTGTTTGGCAAGAACTAGATACAAGATAAGCAGTGTAGTTTAGAAAAGGTAGTAGCAGAGTCCAGAAACCCTGTTAATCCTCTTTGGTGAACCAGCATCATACACTCAGAAGAATATGCTCCAGGAGTACTGACTACATTTACTGTAGTAACAGTCTACTAACCCATCCTGAATCACAGACAAACAGCTTGCTTTTCTAAAATACCTCCTTAATTGGCATGATCTCAGGAAAAACAGAAGGACAGAAGGGTTCTTCTCCCTCCAGGTATTTTCAGCTGCTCCATTTTGCTTGTAGGGGTCTGTAAGACAGAGGAGAGACCTGACCTCTGCAAGGCGCATTCTATGACGCGTACTGCTGGCTGCCTGCAGAGGCCTAGGTGCAGACCATAGCATAACTGCATGTATATCAAATGACAGCACCATGGTAATAATCTCTTTCAAACCATGATCTATCTCAAACCTAGCAAATCCAAATAGCTTTAATCCAAAGATTACACCTATTGTATCCTGTCACTAATCCCTTCAGCTAACTGTACAAGCCCCAATTAAAGTAACTGTTGACATTCCATTTTGAAGAGCTCATTCCTGCTCTCTACAAAGCCCTTGGTGCTAAAATCCATGTTCTCCCAGCCTCTTACCTTTCACATCACATTTCCATGCTCTACATACACCTTCATATGGTTCCTTGATTCAGCTGCCTCACCACTTTGCTGCAGCGCACAAAGACCAGGTCTTAGCAGCAGTCTCCCCTACTGTCTGCAATCCACAGCTGCTGTTGGTCCAGGCTCCATCTGCAGCAGATCCCAAGGCTCCTGCCTTCCCACCAGCTGCCAAAAGCTGCAGCCAGTTCCCTTAGAGGGCTTTTTTGTTAACTCTATTGCTAGCACCGAGGCCAGAGGCATTAAGTGCATAGACTTCACAGACATGCTCCAACCAGCAGCAGAGGCAGTTAAAGAGTGGGAAGTGTTTCCAGCTTTTTGATGTAAGAAAATGGAGGCAGTAGCTGGATCTTAATAAGGGAGAGGTGGGTAACTTGCTAAATTGCAAAGACTAAACAGCACTGAAACGAGATGCTGGGGACTTGGGCTACTGGATCACTCATTTTATGCCACTGGCTTCCTACGTGACTGTGGAAGCCATTTCTCTGTACCTTAGCTTCCACATCTATAAAATGGGGGCAATTATATACTTTGAAACACTTGGACAACTGTTGATGAAAAACACCACAAAAGAAATATTGTTAGTAATAAGAAAAAAAAACCTTATAATTTTCTCTTTTCTGATATCATAACACATGTTTGCAGCCATGTTAGCCTCAAAACAAAAGTAAGAGGGTAACTTTCAAAGAACTGTGGTGCCCCCAAGTCTTCTGTGAATCCAGAATGCAGAAAACCATTAGAAATCTCTAGGGATGCATCTGAAATGAAGAAGGTGACCCTTATAGCAACAAGATTGCTTGTGCAAGAAAGGATTAAGATCTCTAATTTCTTCTACTTTTTATTCCTGTAAGAATCATAAACATCAAGAATAGGTTGCACCTGTTGAGAAGTCAACAGTGAAGAATATCGCACTGGGAGCCTCTGATATGCAAGCAGATCTATAAATCCAAACCACGGCAAGTGTAACCATAGCACTGGGAAGTAATGACCGGTAGCTTTGTTTTAATTAGAGATCATCACCAGTTAGGGACCATATACCTGCATAACCAAGTGACTAATACTCTCCATGGTTGGGTTATATATCCTGTAGCTCCCTTCCATCCATCTGGTAAGCAGTATACCTTCTTACCCTCAAAGACATCTTGCATTGCAGATACTGACTTTATACTTACACTTTTAATGGTTACCATGGAAGTGTATGGGGCATAAGTTCTAAAAAACTACTCCTCCCCACTTCAAAAAAAACCCTTTGGGAATAGCACACAAGGGGAAATAACCAGGTTTTCTGAAGCATTCACTGAGATCCCTGTGTCCAGCATAATAATGACCAATAAATGAACTTCCAGCTACAAAGAAAATCAAGTTTTGCAAAATAACATAGCCCCACATCAGCCCACTGGCAACAACAGAAATGAAAAAAAAAAGAGAGTGCTTACATGGCCCAAGACACAGAGGTAAGATGTTCTTCAGATCTGACTTAAAAATCTAAACCCTATGCCACCAACATACTTCTCTTTTCAGGCTAATGAAATATATGCCTATTTTTCAGCATATCAGTAAGCAGATGAAAAGGAAAGCCTGTCTTGTAACAGTCCTCAAACACCAGCAGCTCTCCCACTAACACAAAAGGTAGAGTAGCAAAGCATTGAAAACAGCTTCATAGTTAATTGCAAGTTAATTGATTTCAACTGGATCATCAGAATTTGGCTGGTGCATTGAGTCAGTCTCCATTCTCTGCACTGCCAAAAGTGGTGCCAGCCAATTACTGAGTTTTTGGAGCTTTCTGCAGTATGCTAGTCCTTGTCTGGTTGAACTGAGATATGTGTGTGTATATATGTGTATATTTACCAGAGGTGAATTTTTGCACTTTCTAAGGAGAAATTTTGTTTTGTTTTCCAAATATACCCACAAGCTTATTTGAACATGATCAGCAGTGCAAGTTACAGCTGCCTTGATGCTATTCCAAAGCTTTAATCTTCCTAAGAGCATGGATTTCTCTACAGAGTCTTTAAAGTATAATCTTTGGAGGTACATTATTATAAGCCTATTTATCATTCAAGGTATATTAGCTGTTTCTTTTGTTGCATTACTTATTTGTTATGATTTTTAAAAACAAGTCTTCCCACAACCCCCATAGCAATTCAGAAGATCACTCTGAATAAAAAAAAAGAGCTGCCTAATTAATAGTCTTTTAGTGATTCCTCCAAGAGCTTAATTAAAATAAACAAGCAGCAGAATCCTAAAATGATTACTTTTAATAAGATTTTTTTTTTAATCAGCTCATTTTACTTGTAATATTTCTAGCGTAAAGTGGCTTATTTCTCATTAGGCTCTTTCATAGTGCTGAATCCCTCACTTGTCCTGCTACAGTAATTACAGACATCTGTACAAGTTTAGCATAGAGACTGTGAAGTCCTAAAGGGGATACATTAAGTTGTTTGGATAAATTAAATGTAAGCCTGCTTTACCTTTGGGAAGTGGTAGTGCTTATTTGTGCAAAAATATTTACAGAAGCCAACAAGTTAATTCATGTAAACAACAAATATGGTTAATGCTCATTTTCTGTGATAGGCTTTTGGCTCAGCTATTTTAACTTTCCACTTTGTATGTAAATCAAGTGTTATTTTCTAATAGATTTTATATTTATTTTTTTAATGTAGGTCTTTCTACTAAATTAAGATTTAAAACACAAATCAAAAGATTCTTTATTTTCTTCTGCTTTGGATCCACTGGTTCACAATTTTACTGAGGCTGTTGTAAGAGCTGAAGACATCAATATGAACTGCTAGGTTTCAAAATTAAGCTGTTTCAAATTACAGGGGATGCTTTAGAGCTGTATGATGGACTAGAGGTGAATCTTCATTAAAAAGGTTTTTCTGCAGTAAGTCATTACTTAAAATTGCCTTGTCAGGAGGAAAATGGTAATTCGTAACTATTAACTAGAGAAGTATTTTCCCCATATATCTAGTCCATTGGAAACATAAACATTACTTCCTGATCATACACTAAACATAAAATTGAAAGATTCCATACAATTAACGTCATTAAAGCTGCTGATGCTACTAATGTGTGTTTTGTTAAAGGCTTGTGCAAGGGCTAGGATGACAAGGGTCTTTGTTCCTGTCTACATACAGTCTCAAAAAGGCTGCACCCACTGTGTCATTTCTGAAGTTTTGATGGTCTGCTTATTGCTCCCCATTTAACATGTGGTGTTTCTACCACTGGTGATGACCCTTGCTATAGAAGATAAAGAGAGAAATCAGAAGACAACTGCTGCTAATGAAATGAAGTGCCTCAGGACACTGTTCATCCAGAAGAAATGCAAGTGTTTGCAAAAGAAAGGTTTGTTCACTCAAGCAAACAAAACCAAGTTCTGAGTCAGCAACTACTTTACTAACTTCAGTTGGTTCACTTCCATGTGTAAAACTGGGCATACCTATAACATGGGGACTTCCACAGTCTGTTGCAAGAGACTCTGAGAGAAACCATATAGACTTAGTGCAAATGTAAGGATTTATCCTAGATGAAGATTTGGTTGCAGGGCAAAAACCATCTTACTCGTTAAAATGTTCACCCATCCTTTCCCTGGGTGGTCACTAAGCTCAGGCTGAGTCCTCCTCAGCTGTAGCTTGTTTTATTTGTTAGGCTGGTTTGAGAGTTTCTCTCAAAACCCCCACCCTTCTGCACTCAAGATGTAGTAACATGGTTTCTCAGGAACAAGTGTGACCTTGCTGTTTGAGAAGTTCCATCTGTAGACTGCTATAGCAACTTCCATAGGAGACATCTATTTACCCATTCAGGAGAAAAATCCCACTGAATGGCTGAGCAAGAAGGGGAAAAAAGCAACCAGGTAGAAATTTACTGTGCTGATAGTGTTTGTTCTTCTTTTCTTTAAGTGTCACAACAAGAAAGCAGAAGGATCAAGAGAATTCAAAAAGAAGTCTTATAACCAGCAGTACTGCTTTGCTCCTGACTTATCGCAGCTGAAAAACCCCACGATATGTCTCTTGCAAAGCAGATAAAAGTATTTCCTGTGTTACCTTAATGAAAAGGTCACTGTTATTTCAGTTTTTCTGTGGGAGCTAGTGGTTGTGAGGAACTTTGCTAATCCATGCTCTTCTCCATAGCCTGGAGAAGAGAAGGCTGTGTGGAGACCTCATAGCAGCCTTCCAGTATCTGAAGGGGGCATATAGGGATGGTGGGGATGGACTCTTCATTCAGTGGTAGGACAAGGGGTAATGGGTTAAAACTTAAACAGGGGAAGTTTAGATTGGATATAAGGAGGAAATTCTTTCCTGTTAGGGTGGTGAGGCACTGGAATAGGTTGTCCAGGGAGATTGTGAATGCTTCATCCCTGGCAGTGTTCAAGGCCAGGTTGGACGAGGCCTTGGGTAATATGGTTTAGAGCGAGGTGTCCCTGCCCATGGCAGGGGGGTTGGAACTTGATGATCTTAGGGTCCTTTCCAACCCTAACTATTCTATGATTCTATGCACCATCTTGTTTTGTAGAGCAGGAAAATGGGACTGGGGCAAGCCGCAGAGAACCTGCTATCAAGCATGCAATGCCCAAATCACCTCAAAAGAGTGTCTAGAAGGTCTGTTCAAAAGGTAAACAAATGCATTCAAGTTTATGTGGACTTGGAAGAGGAGAACCCCAGTGCAGACCTGAGCCTTTCTCCAACTGGCCTTTCCAGGAAGCTGCAGCTATGTCCAGGGAACATGTCACCTTCCCAGCAAGGTGTTTCCTCATCTTCCCAAGTACAATCTGCTCTGTCGGCTCTGCTACCACAGCTTCCAGCCCCTCCACCCTTACCCCCTGGAAATAAAGTGCCTTTTCCACCACTTCTTGTGCCTGGCATAAATGCCCCATCACTCCCACCTCTCCAGCCATGCAGCAATCTTGAATGCAATCATCTTACTTGTGGCTGTGGGGGGCAGCCCCACCCTAAGAAAACACCAACATTGAGGATGAAGATGTTTCACTGGCAGAAGCTCCCTTCTGATGTGGTGAGACGTATGTGCTTCTTTTTATCCTTGGGCTGATTGGTTCATTTACTTCGCATCCAAATAAAACAATACTGTTGAGGAGCTAGGCCTTGACATCAAGGAATAAGAACTTGCTGCTATGATAAAATATATAAACATGCATGTAAAAAAAACCAAACAAAACCAAAATATGTTTTCTTGGGCAGAGATCTAAATTCAGATTCATCCCCAGTGTCTTCAGCGCCACTGTGGCAGTTTCTCCTACAGAAAAAGGAGGTGAGATCCTTTGTTAAAAATGTTGCAGACCAGTTCATGTTTTGAAGTGCCATGTGTTACTCAGATGGCTCCTGATGATTCTGGTAATAAGGTTGGGCTTGGGAATCCCTGTTTTTTGCAAAGACAGACATTTACCTAATTGGATGCAACATCCCCTTTTTGGGTACCACAACTGTGCAATGTGTGACCATTCAGCAATAGCAGAGAGAATTTGAGGCAGCCCATTAAATTTCTCTGCTGTCTGGTTCAGTGAATCGAATGTGGCAATAGTTTTTTCAGGTTTAATTAGCCTTCAAATCTTTGGGATGCTATCTGTGGGAGCTGCCACTCTTAAATAATTAACATTTGTCCAGGACTAATTAGCGTTCTATTTCATTCACCTTCTAAATTGTGTTTTCCACAATCACGCTGCCTTGAAAGTGCTCCTTTATCTCTGTGATCCATCTTGAAGATTACAAAATACTCTTGTGTTGAGTGGAAAGATCTGTTGAACAGTCATGCCCCGTAGTTCTTCCTAATGAACTCCTGGCCCATCACTGGTGAGTGTCTTGCAACTGTTCTTCATTTTCTTCTCTCTTCTAGAAAGCCGCTCCATGTGGGCTGTGTTGCCAAGCAGCAGCAAGGAACTTGTAGAGCCTGACTATGCAAGCTTGGAGCTACTTTTCTCTGTCCCGCCAACAGCACCCATGGAGAAAATGAGGCCAAAAATAAAGAAAATAAAAGAGGTACTCAGACTGCTCACTTTTTGTAGAGCCAACAAAATCCTTGAAATTTAAAAGCTTATTCACTCTTTATTGCTGTCAATAATTCATAATAAGAAAGCTTGAAATATTTTTATCATTTCCTGAGATTATCTAAAACAAGCACTAGAGAGATTTAGAATTAAACATGAAGTAACTCTGCTAATGGACAGGTCTTCATCTGAGAGAAGGAGGACATGGGAATTTCAATATTAACTCTTATCAATAGGAATATTCTGGACAAATCAACTCCCTTCTCTATGTCTTTGCCTCTTTCTAAAACAGATCCAAAGACCTGTACTGTTTCAAATTGCTCTGAGTTTTATAAGCTTGGCAGTCCTGGGTAATATTGGTTGGATTTGATCATCTTAAAGGTCTTTTCCAACCCATTCTATGATTCTATGAAGGAAGAGTGTTGATAATGTTATTATGAAGAATTAATCTTGCCCTACAAACAAGAGCTCTAAAATTTCTGTTAAAACCAGGGTAAGTGTATTTCTAGCTCACTGCCTTTTTTTTTTTCTTCTTTCCACAGATTACATTCATAGGTCCAAAAAAGAGTCTCCTTCTGAGTATATTTCTAAAGCAATTTAAGTGGTAAGACCTGGAGAGTTCCATGTGAATTACTTATTTGATGTGTCTGTGTTTATTGAGACATTAAATGAGGTAAATTTGGCAGAAATACTTTACATTTACATTTTATCTTTCTTTAGCAAGGAGTCAAATTTTTATTTTATTAAAAAAACACCCCACAAACAAATAAACAAACCAATGAGATGTGGCAGTCTCTTTCCAGACAATTAATACCACATCTCAAATTGTTACTAGACCTAAAATGGACCACTAATTCCTAAAGACACGATAGTCACAATTAACAGCAAAATCATGTGAAAACATATTTTTCTTTGCTATTATTGACATAAATATGAACTGCTGTCAGCAAGGATCAGTGAAGATTCCTGACTCAAAATTTCAAGTTGTTTAATTGATTTTAAAAAGGCATCTCCAGGGGTTCAGATCCAATATGGTATATAGTTTATATCTGCAGATTTTCCATAAATAGGAAATGGTTTATGTAATTAAACAAATGGAAATTTACCAAGTCACAGTCCTCACAGGGAGAGAAAAAAATAAACCACCAAACAAACAAAACAAAAGAATCTGTTCTAGCTTTTGGCAAAATGTCTTTACTCCTATGTTCTCTGAAACTATTGCAGCATGTTCTGCGCTCTCCCTTTTCTTTGTGCAGTGGCCCCTATTGTGAGGGCTTCAAAAATAAACTCAGCCTGGAAGCTCCTTTGTGTTAAGACTAAATCTGAATCAGTCAGAGGAATATTTTTATTTATATATTATTTTTTCATTGCAAACTGCATCTCAGTGGGGAAGAACTCTGCATAACCTAATCCAGTTGCTATTTCCTCTCTCTGCATGATTCCCTGGGCAGCAGTTAAGCTCTCCTGACAGCTAGTGACTGTGGGATCAAAGAACTGAGCCCTGCTTGCACTCACGAGGGACAAGGCTGCTCAGCAACCGGGTGCTGCCTCTGTTAGCACTGGTAACTACCAGGAAACAAGCTCTCCAGAGACCAAACCAGAGCAGTCTGGACCCATTTCAAAGACATGTTGTCTGCCTAAGTTTCAGGAAAGGATTTGGGGTAAAACCTTCAGGGATCTTTACAAATGCTTCTAAGCAGGAGGAAAGCCATTGGTTTTAGCGTTGGCTTTGCTGCAAGCAGTGGAGAAATTCAAAGGTAAATCTTTTCTCAGTGACACTGGATGCCCACAGGAAAAGGAGAGAATGAGGGTTTGTTGTGTAAAGATGAACAAAGCCCAGAAAGCATATGTAGTGTATAAGGAATATTACTTTAGGTTTAAAAAAAATCCTGTGCTATTTCATATCTACACTGTACTTCTGAGGACTAAGATCCAAAATGTAATGTGAGGCAGGTATAATAAAAATTACTTCATTTACTCCTAAAGTGCTAGCTGAGAGATTTGGATATCTTCTCTTTGTTGTGTTACTCCTCCCTACACCATTGCTCTAGAGCACTTCTCTTTCATACAGCTCCAATGAAGAGATTGCTGCCATGATTCAGAAAGGGGACAGTTCCAGGTTGGACACTGAGATACTGAAGCAGCTACTTAAACTGCTGCCTGAAGACCATGAGGTATCTATTAAGTGTGTTATTCTGATGGAGTTCAGTGTGCTTTGTGCTCAGCTTACAACACTAGCACTACAAAAGCAAGAAGGTACAACTGGAATCCACAATCCCCGCACCATCTCAGTCAATGATTTTCTAAGATAGAGTGGTGGGAAGTCTGCCCCAGCAACAGATTGGTCTCTTTACACAGGGGTTAGGCAATAGCCTCTTGGGAGACTCAACACTGCTGTAGATCAAGTGCTGTTCTTTACTCACGTTGTTTTAATTAAATGGATGAAGTACATTAGCATTTGTGGACTTAGGTGAATAAAGAGCCTTTCAGAGCAGGTTTCAATGAGGACAAAGAGAAAGTACCTATCTTTTTAAAAGGGTTGCTGGACTTCTGTGCACTGCAGCTTGTTGAATCCCTGCCAACGGATCAGGGATTCATCATACGAGATGCTGTACAAATGCAGGTGACCTTCCAGTCAAAACAAAACCTATATGCTTGCCCTTACAAACCAGTTCATATATGAGATTTATTGTATATCTGCCTTACTGCCCTTGTCTGTGCACACAACAGGTTCAGAAAAGCCAGCTTCATGTTTGTATGAAGCAACAGGCACCAGAAATATTTGTGTGGTTATTTTACTGTTTCATTCCCTGTTAGATAAATAGCCTGAAGTCTTACAAAGAAGAAAAAACAGAATTAGCAAATGCAGATCAGTTTTATCTCCATCTCTTGGAAGTTCCTAGGTAAGCAAAATTTTCCTTGTCTTCAGTCTATGAGTGTGGTTCTTGTAAGATTTGTCTGTAAGAACTAAGACCTCTGTTTCCTGTGGTAGAAAGATGTTCCTGATATTCAGTCTTCAGGATAAATCATCTGACTGCTATTTTTAGAGCTGGTTTGAGAAACTTTTCCTTCCCAAAGGCTGAAGAGGCTTTCAGACACCTTTGACAAACTACAGTTAATTTAACCTTGATATGAGGAAACTCTTGGCTGATGTACAGTAATTATCTGTATGGCAGCAAGTTGCAGACTGAATCCTACCACAAGCCTGCTGATTCACTGCACCACTGGTTTAGAGATTCCAGTCTGCCAAAGACAGCCCACAAACCCGTGAGTGAATCACAGCAGTGCCTGTGCTTTCACGCAGTCAGATGAGGTATACACAGAGAAATCTTTATGCTGCTCATAAAAACATGTTGATATGTTGTAATTCATAGCAATAGCCCTCCATAAATCTGATTGGTTGCCATGCAACAACCAGAGATGCTTTTCCAAAAATTTCACTGTGAAAATGGGGCTTTTAATTGTCTAAAACTTGTATCTACCCTTAAAAGTACTTTAGAAAATGTTTTCATGGCTCTTCCACAACTTTAATCCATGGTGAGGCATAAATATCGTTAAAGGACATCACTGCAAAAATATTTTAAATTTCTGTTTGGGAAGTTAAAAGGAGGATCAAAAATCCTGGTTAGTGCTGCCTAGGAACTGGAAAAAAAATATGGCTTCATTATGCAAGGAAGTCACTGCCAGATGTCAGTGCAACATTGCTTTCTGAAAGAGGAGACAGTTGTTTCTAGGACATCTTTGGAAATACGTGTTTTGATTTATTTATAATCCAGTTCTTGTGTCAGAGCATTAAGGAGAACATAACAATGCTGGTACTGAGCTTTGCCTAAAAATGGGCTGAACACAAGTCAATCTGGCATGTGAGGTTTGTTTTTGTGGGGTTGTTTCATTAGGGTTTTTTTCTCTTTTAGCTATCATTTGCGGATTGAATGTATGCTGATTTGTGAGGAAACAAAAATTCAGCTGGAGTGTCTGTGGCCAAAAGCACAAGCCATCAGGGCAGCCTGCGAAAGTAAGTTTATCAGCGCTGTGCCTGTGCCCAGGAACAGTCGTAGGAAGCCTCTCTTTTACTTGAATAGCATCAGTGGTAGCATATGCTACAATCAAATAAAAATTAACCTTTTAATTGCTGAATATGTCATGAATACAAAAGTTATTCTGCAGATTCCTTCTTCTAGGATTCATTTTGCAGAATTGCAGTTTGTGCTGTCCTGCTCTGGAGTGGCCCTTCTGTCTTCATGAGTAATACACACCTCTCTCCTACCAGTGGCTCTACAGAGAGGAAGGAAATTTCTTTTCTGTCCGTGCCAGATTCTGTTTGAATATAGTGGTGATTTTTGTCTGTAACAACAAATTGGTTCCAACTTTTCCTCTAGTGCACACTGGTCACAGTCCAACTTAGCTCTGTAGTGTAGCAGGCCTCAGTGGCATACTAGACCCTGGCCTGGCTTCCAAAATGGATGCCCCAAGTGATTCACCAGTGTTTTAGGAACGCCCTCCACTCAAAATTAGCCTTTGTTCTAGTTTTAAGTCATCTTTCTTGAAGTTGCTCTTGGATTTTTGCTTCAGTTCAATAATTTGAGAGTCAGTGACCTCCTATTGAACATTTCAACGTCAAAACTTGTTTGTTTGAACACAAAACTTGGCTATACCTGGCTGTCTGGTGTTGGTGCTATAGTTTCTCTTTACTGCATTGTAATTAATAGCACACTGCAGTCCCAACTGTTTGTCCCCCATCCATCCTGTTGCATGGATCAGGGTTTCTGTTCTATTTCTCCCAAAAGCTTTATTCTTGACCCAGATTCTCCTGCTAAAATGCACAGCTTCTTGTTATCAATCTCACTAAGGATGAAAATGAGGCAAAAAGCCCTTTGCTTTTCTTAGCTTAGACCAGTAGGTGCTGGAAATGTGGGCTATAGTCATTCAAAAGTTTATACACTTTTTCATATGCAGTTCTCCCTCATAAGCAGCTGCAGAGATGACACATCTATACTCCAAACTTGATGGGAAAACTAGTTTTCCATCCATTTGCAGAGACGAGATCACAATAGAAACCTACTCATTCCAGTTCCATTCAGCTGATTTATTTCTGTACTGGTGTATTTCCAAATCCATAACGATAGCTTAACGTAATCTTGGATAAGAATTTTGTTACTGCCACTGTCAAACCTAAGGAAAATCCTGTTTCAGATAATTTAATTTATTGAAAATGTCTCTCTTCTTATTTTTCAGCACTTCTTACCAGTCACCGACTGCTGGTTTTTTGCCAATTGATTCTTAAAGTTGGAAACTTTCTGAACTATGTAAGTAAACCGATTTCTTTAATTGCTGTATTTCTAAAGATTAACAGAAAATACAAATGCAAGACTTGGAAACTGAAGGAAGGAATATTTTTCTGTATCTTCTAGGGGCATCACACTGGAGATGCTGAAGGCTTTAAAATTAGTGCCTTGCTCAGACTAGCAGAAACAAAAGCAAACCAAAGCCACATTACTCTGCTTCACTATATTTTGGAGGTATAATGAAACTGTGAAATTGTTCCTGTGTGCATTATTCTCAAATATTTATCTATCAGAAACGAAGGGACTTTGACCTAAGTAGCACCCTATGGTAGGCATCTGGAGGTGAGCCTCTGTGCCTGAAATACACCGAAAACTTCTCCGCATCTCTCTGTGCAGATGGGATCAAATCTGTGTGCATTAATGTTTACAGAGTTAACATTAAATTTCCTTTCTCAAGTTCACTTAACATATTTGCTTTGCTGTTTTCTATCTTTTCTTCTCCAGCTTTTGTCTTGTGTTGACATTTCTTCTGAACTCATCTGTCAAATGAAATTGATTTTAGTGGTATGAAGACAAATTCTTGGGTCAGCTTGTGCACTGTGGCAGCACATGGGATGTAAGCTCGAGCAGTTAAAAGACCTTTTGCTTTCTTTTTAACTCCCTATGCATTCCAAATTGAGAAAAAGAATGAACAAGATGAAATTTATCCCTACACTTATAAGAATGAAAACTGAAGTGTTAATTTCTCAATCATGATGTTGTCCAGCTGAAAAACTTTCATACTCTTTAACTGACTGTGCAAGGTAACCGCTTTTCACTTCAATTTTAGGAGATTGAGAAGAACCACAGAGATCTGCTGCAGCTTCCCAAAGATCTTGACTTTGTTTCCAAGGCAGCAGGGTAGGACACTGTTGTTTGTTTTTGTCATCTATGAATTACTAACCTCTTTAAAGCTAACAAGGAGCTGAGTCATTTTGTGATGCTGTAATAAAGTCACAGGACTTCTCTGCTGTGGGAAAGGTTCCCTTCTAACACCAAATAATGTTGAGATGTGTAATTAATCTGGTTAAGGCTTTTCATGTGGATTTTTATTTTTGGATGATCCATTACTAAAACTGCACAAATAGTGAACTCCCTCATTTTCAAGGACCAGATTCTTACACATAATGCAATAGAAACATGCAATTTCTCTGAAATGTCCTAGTCGTATTCATGTGCAAGCCCATCAGGAGGTACATGAGCAGAGCTGGTATAAGGAGGGAATGACTGGGGTAATTTACTAGCAAATGGGGGTCCTCAGGAGTCCCTGAGTTTCTAGTGCAAGTTTCTAACACAAGTTTTTAATATATCTGGGTAAAAAGAATAAAGTCTGTTTCTGCAGACTTTCCCGTGTGCCTGAAAGCCTCATGAGTCTAGTGCCAACTCTTTCTGTTGAGCTCAGAAGAATCACAGAGAGATATGTTAAATTACACTAATCAGAAGCCACACGTATAGCAACAGAAATAACATTTCTAAATCCTGCTATGAATTCATAGGAACCTTGCAATGTGTGAGGTTTCCTTGTATCTAGAAGCAGGGGTAACTTTTAAACCTGGAAATGAATCAGCATTTGTTAAGCAGCTGCTTTTTTTTTTATTATGTATTTTTATTTAGTAACGTAACAGAAAATATTATGCCTTGTCTGAGTTATCTGTGCAGATTATAAGTTGGATGTTGTTTTGAAACATTAATTTATTTGGGGTTGTGTCATAATGGAAATACTTTTGTTACCTGAAAGTAAATCTTGATGGTCAGTGATATAAATGTGCTGGGTTTTAAATAATTGCCTCCTTCTTTAGTCAAACTTACAGAATTGACCTGTGGAGAGCTGTTTACAATGCAAACCTTGCAAGGGACTCTTCTAATGCTGCTCACACCTGGAGGAACTGAGAAACACAACAAGCTTTGCTGATTCAGTATTTTTTATCTGGCACAAAGAGATAGCACAGATTCTTTCTTAAATAAGGGTTTAAGGACACCAAAAGGACTTATCTAGAGAACTACTGCAGAAGCAGGGTCTGGGTTAGATGATTAACTCTACATTTATTTGCAGAGATGTTACTGTTTGCAATAATCTTTTAACTTAATGAAAACTGAAGACTCGCCCCTTCAATGTACTGTCCTTTTTGTGGACCTTTCAGAATCCACTTTGATGCTATGCGGGCGGAGGCAGGTGCCAATTTGAAGAAACTGTTGGAAATAGAGAAGCGTTTATTTTTGTCGACAGATGATGTAAAAATGCAGCATGCAAAATCTGTTCAAGTAGGTAATGTGGGTGTGACACGCTTCCCATCCTTCTTCCCAAACACTTTAAATCTCTTCTCAAACCCACTGTAATTCAGGTTGCATTTGGACATACAGCAATGTGGGAAAGGGGTCATAGCTACACTCCCCCTGCACCCTGGTGGAAGGAGCATCCCATATTCTTCTCCACTTCTGTAATGTGTTATTGTAATGAAGAAACAGCTGAGGACTAGTCAGCTTTGTGTGTGGGCAGAAGGAAGGAAGGCCCTAAAAATGAAATGTAGGATGCAACTATAAATGCAGCCAGCGCAGTAAAGAAATATATTTTGTCTCGCTGCTCTTTGGGGAAAAAAAAGTGAACAGGTATGCAATATGCTTTTTTTTTTGTTTTTTTCCCTTCCTTTGCACATATTTCCAAACAGTCCAGCTTTTCATGTTCTCAAAACAGGGTCACTTAAGTAAAGCTAAAAGGCAGAAACCCTAGTGCTGTATCTGGCTTGATCAGTCATCCCAGGTTGTGCCAATTACCACAAGGTGCTGTGATGAAAGTGGCAACATGCAACAAGCTGCTTTGGGATAAATGGAAGTGGGTTAAGCAGATGGTTCCATGAAGAAGAAACTATCACATATTGTGAACTGTTCTTAATAGTCAGTTTTTTTTAAACTAACTGCTCTGTGTTAACAGGATTGAGTCTTCTGGGCAGCTCAGAATATGTTACTTGCTATATGTACATAAATTGTGTTGTAAACTGTGTCTCAGGACAGTCTTGATGCTTCAAAGGACCTGCAGAAGGAATTTGCCAGCATTGAAAGGAAAAAAGAAGAACTTGCTGATTATCTTTGTGAAGACCGAACAAAATTGTCTTTAGAAGATGTTTTTAGGACAATGAAAACCTTCAGAGAGCTCTTCCTCAAGGCCTTACAGGTGCTTTGCTTTTGTGACCATTTAGAAATAGGTTGAGAACTTTCATGGTTTTTTAAGCAAGCAAGAATTTCTTTTTTATTTCTACTCCATGCTGGGCTAAACCCCAGCTGCAGAAGTAAATGAGAGTAACTATTTGCTTGTAACATGAAGCAAGAAATAAGCACATGGGCAAGTATAAAATGTGATTGATTTTTCTTTTTTTTTCCTTTCTCTTCTGGAGAGCTAGGAAACCTCCAAGTTGCTGTTCCATTGCAAAATTATTAATCAGGCCTCAGTGCAGTAGAAGCTTAGTGGTGTGTGGAAAAAATGAACAACCTGACATGCTTTATAGGCTTTGCCAATAGGCAAAAGGTGATTTTTCCAATAGACAAATCTAATTGGAAGATATATTTACACCTAGGTGTTTTATTGTACTAGTTAGCTCAAAACAGTATGTTTTGTGTCCCATACAATCTCTCACAAGAGATTACATTTGGTGCTTTATCAATTTATAAGGCTTGCAGTAAGGAGTAAGAAAACAGGAACTCTACCACAAATGTTGTGTAGAGCACCTTCCAGCTGGTTCTCTAGAGGCCTTCACAATTTCACAGCTCCTGCTGTCTACTTCACTCCTGAACTAACATATTTCCTTTAGGGTTTTCTTAACACCCTTTTTTATCACCCCTTAAGCCAGGTGAGAGTGGCTTCAGATTTACGTATTTTAACAGCAACAATCACCCACTCCTTTGTTGAATCCAGGAGGGCCCCAGACTGGATTTGCCTTTTATGGAAAGATATATAGAAATATTGCAAGAATACAGACAACTATGTTGGGCAATGTCAAGTAAAGAGAGGCTGAAGGAGCGCTATTGCATACATCATAGTTTCAGATGAAAATAAAGGAGCTTCTGGGGAAGTGGTGGAACATGAAAGATGAAAAATATATCCTGAATGTTCCCACTACGTGGTTGTCCTGTGAGGAACTGGTCTTCAATTCTGCAAGCAATACAGCTGCCCAGGCTCCAAAGCAATGCTATAGCACTGCAGACAGTGTGGAAAATAAACCCTATGAACCACAGATCCTCTGTCAATACACTTGATCCTTATAGTTCCTAAAGCTGTAGGCAGGAACAATAGAATTAAGAGTCAAGAACATAATGGCTCAGCATATGCGGAGAGCTATATTGGGAAATTGCTGTGAAAGGTAAATGCAACAACTGCAGTTCTTCTAAGAAGCAGTACCAATAAAGGTTATGTACTGTCCTAGTACCACTGCAGAAGATTCAAAGTACTTGTTTGGGTGCTGCTTTTTTACAGTCAGGTTGGAGCAACTAGAAAGAAGCTTCTTTTTATCTACTCAACTTATAAACTCCTTTTCATCCTATTTTTTGTTTCATTTCTCAGCAGCACCTCACCTTAAAGGTACCATGCTGTTAGCCGCATGGTATGCATCTTTGTTACTGCTATTGCAGACCTGTAATGTAATCTCCTCTCCCTTCTTGCCTTGCTTTCTCTTATTACTGTAGGAAAGATACTCTCTGTGCTTGAAATGACAACATGCTGGAAACTTGAAGGTCTTAATTTTTAAAGCATATTTTTGTTGTGCCGTTTTCATTTTTACACTAGAATCAGCCATGTGCATCTCTTTACAGTGCCATTTGGTGTAAGTTTTAAGGCTGAGGTGTAACCTATACTTTGAGATGTCTTCTGTGTAAAGCAGGTCTCTTAGCACTACCAAAGTCGCTAGTGCTGTCTTTCTATTCTCACACCACATAAGAAGGGAAACAACAATGATATAGACTGATACTTCATGTCTCCTAGCCTTACATAGAAAGATTTGGGTTTTGTTTCTTTGTTTAAACAAACCTTTTTTCCGTTCCCTGAGAGTTCTTTCTGCCGTCTCATTTTTTAGGTAACAAAAACTGAGCTACACAAATGAAATTACTATAGTAAGAACCTGCCCTCTTCCTCTTCATCTACTTGAAGTGAGGGAAGAGCGGGGAGGGCTTTTCAAACACTCAAGTGATTCCCAAAACTGAAAAGGAGCTGGTTTGTCACTTGGGGCTGATGACTGTTTCACCAACTCTTAAAAAATAAAAGGCGCAGATGGAAGGAGGAAGGAGACAAGGAGAAAATAGCTTCCCAGCTCAAGGTTAAAAAAACAGAATTGGAGATATACTGAGAACTGAGTTGTAAAATTGTGCGGAAAAGAAACACTCTGTGATTATAGGGGACTGGGAGAAACATTTGATTTCCCTTAGTAGTTGCAGCTGTTCAAAGAGGGGAGCTCCCGAAAAAGAGGCTGTCTAATCTCAGACAAAGGAGAAAAATGTTAAACAGAATATGCTTTAGGAAGTACTCAATTGACAGAGGTTATATAGACAGCTCTGTGCAGGGATAGTTCCTTTGAGTTCTCCCCTAGGATTATCAAGCCAGAGCAGCTGCTCCTCAGTAGGGTGCATATGGTGTCAGAACAGGATGTGCTTTAGTTATTGTGGGGATAAACAGTTGTTGTGGAGCATCTTTTAATTCAAAGATCAAGCAAATATCCAACATCCCACAGAGTGCAAATCCAAAGTGCAAATTCAACTCTTTCATTCAGTCTCATCTGTACAGCTGCCTTCAGTAATCTAGGAGATGTAGAAGTGATTGTGAATACTCATTCCTCTGCCTTGTTACCAAGCTACCTTGTTGAGCTTTCTTATGGTGAAGAAACTCTGTTGAAAGTATGTTTGTGTCAAGTCATTCTGTGTACTTTTAAGAACATTTTTCTGAACAGTTCTGTTCAGGCTTGCTCAATCCACGAATTTACTCTTAATGTATTTTGGTTTGTTTTCAGTACTGTGTGTGTGCTGCTCAAGTAATGTACCCCTGAATTCACCTTCTTTATTCCTTGTGGCATGTTACATAGAGACATTCTCCCAGGGCCCACAGATCTGCAAGTTTCTAAACAGCCGTAATATCTCAAAGATATGCTAGGAATTTATCAGGCAAGCACATAGGAGGCATGCAGTGATGAAATGCTTTTAACCTCCCCATATGGCAGCACCACCTGTACCTCTTTCTTTCAGAAGCACCCTCCATTCAGAGCAAATATGCGGTCTTCTTTGTCAAAAGTACAAGATTTTTCTCTCCTCTTTTAGGCATCCAGTGAATGTGCACCATAACCTTGAGCCTATAATGCTTCTATATTTCAGAAAGACTAACTCTATTAAGGTTCATAAGTTTTCCTTATTTGTCTGGAAATCTCTTTGGACCAAAGAATTCTAGGCTTTTATTTTCTATATGGTCTCTAAGAAACTTGTGCATGCTTCCTGAGACTTCTTCAGCCCATCTTATGGAAATAGTGGGAGATGACCCACAGCAATCAACCAAATCTATCACTATAATGGGATAAATGTCTTTCCTGATTCCAAACTCCCCCAAGAGAAGACCATACATGTCTCATCAAGAATCCTGTCTGCATCAAATCATCAACATCTTCCTGGACATTATTAAATTTTGTAATGTGGCACAGCAGCACCCTTCTCTTAGCATCACACATCTCTAGGACAGCAGGACAAATAACTACTAATCTACCTACAATATGTAGGTAAGCTACTGGCTGATAGCAGACAAAAGCAGTCAAGCTTCGAGGTGGTGGTGGTATTGTTCTGTTGATGACTGCAGCTCTGCAACAAGGACTGTATAAGCTTTTAAGAAAATGGCTTTTGCCATCTTGATGTTCTGCTACAGTTATCCCAGTTGTTCAGAACTACCCTCAATTGTGATACTTATCAAAACCCAGAAATACTCTTCCACTGAGCCAAGGTCTTCCTTTATTAGGAGTAATCATTCAATTGCTTTCTCTTCCTCCATTAATCATATCATCCTGGTACCAGCAGCTCTGTAGAAATCGGAGTCCTGCCTGTCTGAATAAATCCCAACAGGATTTATGCCATCTTAGCAGTTGTTTGACTGGTACCAACAGACATCCAGCCTTCAGTCTGCCACTGAACACTAGTGAAGCAATACAGCTGGCAAATTTAATGGGTGCCTGAAAAGAAACTGTGAATTGCTGTTTAAGGCAAGTTGAAGAGTTCCTGAAATTTCTGGTAGAAATCCCTGAATGCTAACAATATAAAATCAAGGTTGCTGTGGAATAAATTTCTAACATGCTAGTTAAGTTAAGCTAATATTCTGTTTTGTGGACAAATGGACTAATTAAGAAGAATGCATTTCAGTCCATAGTTGAATGTTTCAGTTAAAGCTAATGAAATAGTTTGCTTGTAACATCATCATATGGAGAATGCCCAAGAGATTGACCAGGAAGCTGGTCTGCTATTTACCCTCGAACCCCAGAAGATGAAAGTTTTCAGTGTGCATAGGCCATATTCAGAATAGCTATTCATTGCAAACTGGGAGTTTCTTAACCAGCTTTTCTTTCAGTAACTCTTAATTTTTTTGTCATTCTGTCTGAATGCAGGAAAATCAAGAAAGAAAGGGACAAGCTGCAAAGTCTGAGAAAAGGAAAAAACAGCTTAAAGAAGAAGATGCAAAGAGGCCAAAGAGAGAGTATGGAAGTACATTTAACGAAAAATAATTCTGATTTTATCAGCCAGTCTTTTCTTAACTAGGAGGAATTTATCTGTTTAGCTGTAGTTGATCTAATACAATGGCAGTGATTTAGCCATGGATGATGCACTTGCCATGCAGATAGTATAGTAAGACATAAATTCTCAAGTGCATGTGAATTCTTGGAAAAAATCATGAGAGGGACGTTAGAAAAAAACATCACTTCCAATGAGCAAGTTCCTACTATTTTGCTTAGAGGTAGGTGATACCCTGCTATAGCTATGAATAGCTGTTGGAAGACTTTTTAGGGTGTAGAAAGTTGTATATACTTGAACTTCAAGCTGCACTGTGTCACTGCGGTAGGCAAGTTGTGTTACGTGTTACTGTTACCACAACATTTTCCTTTTTCTGATTAAATGTCTTATTCCTTAAAGTGGTTATGAGTGTGCTCTAAAAGGGCGACTGTGCTTTGCTGAAGCACAGCTGATTGACATAAATATAGGAAAGCTTTTGTTGTGCTGGGCCTACCTGGGTATAAAGCATTTCCAGTGCTACCATTGGCATGTGTATGTTTTAAAATTCTGTTTTGGAAAATACTTTTCATCCACTTTTCTGGACAATTTCTGCCAATAACATTTGGTTATGATTCTTGATTCTTCAGAGAATCACTGCAAAAATGGCATTAATAAATCTGATTGGAGTTCAAGTAAATATTACACTAGATGCTCACCCTCTGGAAGGCTGCAGTTTCCCTTGTATCAGATGTCTTTTAGCTCCTCTTTCACAGTTACTCCTTTTTATAGTAAGAAATATTATATAGGAAAAAACTTTTAAAAATGCATAAGCTTCACTGAAAACTGACCAAAACAAAGCTTTCAATATTGTCTTGACAATATGCTGCACTGCAAATATATTTTATGTACTTTGTAATCATAACATGCTTAATGTAAGGCTGCAGATTAGAACAATAAACCTTCTTGTTGTAAATACAGAAAAGTAATTTAGTATATGGTAAAATAAAATTATAAAGTGACATTCAACAGCTGTAAATATTGAAGATGTGCTTCAACCCTGCGAAGAGAAGAAGCATCAGACCAGAAGAACCTTCCAACATGCAATTTAGAGGGAACTGTCATTATTTTTGGTCTTTTGTGAGAAGGTGGATTTAATTCTTGGCATATAAACATAAACTTGAGAGAGCATTTACACTGAATTATTTTTCCATACTTATTTTAGAAAGCTATGTGTAGCACTGGTGACAATGAGAATAAGACATTTTTTAAATCTATTTTGATCTCCATCAGGATGTGGTGACATAAATTACAGAGTGTATCACATCTGGCATGGCAAGATGTTGGAGCACATCTTAACATTCTTCAGTTTATGTAAAACCTTTTTTTTTTCTTTTTATTTATCATGTATTTAGCAAGTTAATTATCTTTTATATTAATTTTCTGAAGGGGGGAATGAAGAGACAGTAAATTGGCAAGGACAGACAAAAGAGGTGAAGACAGTAGCACCCATTGCTGATGTATTACTCACAGATCACAAGGCACGGCTTGCAGCTACTCCTGAAAGACTGTTGAGAACCAAGCTGAGTCAGTTGTTACCAAAATGTATGTAATTCAAATGTATGGCATTGTCACGGAATCAGTGGTCGCCTTTGGCCAGTAGGCAATAGGTGTTAGGGAGACCCTTCCATTGAGGCATGATGTTTAGAAAGCACCCCCTTGCTTTCCAGCTGATATTAGAGGGGCTGGGTTCAGCTGGATCCAATCCTAGTCTCAGACTTGGTTTATGCCTAAGGATTGTGTAGTGCTTGCACCTTCTTGTCCAAATTTGTCCCTCCAACACTGTCACATTACAAGGGAGGTTTCCTCAAACCCTTTATATTTGAGCAGCCTGCCAGTCTTCCAAGAAAGATGAGATCCTTGTGTCTGACCAGCCCATCTGCATCCCATTATGGGGAACGTACTGGACAGCCCAGTCCAACCTATTCAGTAACTTGTACCAACAGTGTCTTTTCAAACCCTTATTTCAATTATTCAAGTCTCTGGAGACTTACACAGAACAGACTTCAGCTGAAGTTTTTTATTACACAAAATATAAGTTTGTGACAGGATAATGTTCAGATATTGCCAGTGATGAGGTCTGCAAAAACAAGCTTGAAGTGACACACAACCAGACTATAATTGCTAATAACTGGTAGCATGAGTTAGTCATTTAGCATGCATAAGATACAGTTCTTACCCAACAGGTATCCCTATGGGGGAGAAGACAGGTTCAGCACATCAGGTGATCCCAGAAGTTACAACGGAGTCATCCCTCCTTTCTTAATTTCACATATTTATACAATTTAATTCAGGTTACTAAATCCCTGTGAACCTCCCACATTTTTTGATTGGTCTGTTAATTGACATAACGTTACATCATTTTCACTGAAAGGACACCCTAGTCATGCTTTGCTGATACGTGAAGCCGTATGTCAATGATGTCCGTGTATTTCCAGTCCTTCCCGATTAGAGATTTGTTAGCTCTGTTTCTTAATCTGCCTATACAAGGGCAAAGCCTCCTCTCCTGCTGTCAGTTCTTTGTTCACCAGTGTTGTTCATCCTGACCTTGTAGGAGGCCCTTAGAGCTGTGCAGGCTTTTCCATAGTAACACAGGTTTCAATTTTTTAACTATAAGCCTATGGCACTTAAGTGACTCTAGTCATGCATACTTTGCTACAGAATAGTGTAAACTTCTGTAGCTTTGCTTTTAAAAATGCAAATACAGTTTCCTAGATTGGCAGCTGCTATGCTGTTATGAGCACATGGTACCTTGAAGTTCTCCCTCCTGCAGGGAGTATAACAGAGCCTGGCCATGGTGATTCCACTCCATTCCACCCTACCCTCTGTTCAGTTTCTCTTAGCAGATGCCAAGGTTGCAGGGTTGCCTGGGGAACTATCATAGGGTAGATTCCATGCATCCCATCCTAGAAGCAGCAGCTGCATTTTACTCCAAGATTTCCTTAGTGTTAAAACTTCAGGGGGCTGTTGAGGGGTAGTCTCTAATTTCCCCCATTTTCCCACAGGCATGATTAAGAGAACAGAGCAATATCCTAGTTGGTTACATGTATTAAAACCCACCTTTCTGTGAATTTAGGATAGGATTTCCAAAATAATAAAGCTCCTGCTGATTCTAGGGGCCCAGACATCTAGGTTTTTTTCAACTTCTCTGAACATGTTTACATATATATTTGTATTGAGATTTTTTTCCATGCCTGATAATGGATTAAACAACTATCCTGATTTACTTTCTCCAGTTTCTGTTGCAGCAGCTTCAGTTACTGCGCATTTGAATTCTTCAGGAGAATTACATCAGATACTTACAAAGATCAATTCTAGATCTTATTTCAAGTAAAAAATAACGTCTAATATATTTATATATGTGTTATTTCAAAATAAATAGCATACACAGGTTTCTTTAGCTAATCAAGTGAAAAATTAGCTGCTTTTAATGGAAATCTGAAGACACAGCTAATGACCAGAGTAAGTGACAGAATAAAAACACTTAGAAAAAAAACACAGAAGTGTGCAGTTAAATACCTGGTGAGAATTTATGTATTATGTCACTTTGATATTGTAACTACAGAGGAAACACAATGCTATTAAAAGATGCAAAGCAAGTAAATTTTGAAGAACAGGAGTCCCATAGCATAACTACCATCACTCCATACAGAATCCAACTGTAAAAACCACAGATCAATAGTAATAATGGTTTAAAAACTGTGTATTAATGACAAGTACAGCTTTCAATGCAGAGCTTACTTAGTGCATTGTACTCTTGTATGTATTTGTAATCCAGGATGTATTTCATTTTTGTGTATGTTCATTTTAGTAAACAGACCTAAACAAACCTGTGAGGCTTATTAGTTGTGTTTTTAAATCACATTCTAGCAAATAAGATCCTGAGCAACTGCTTCTCTTGTGCTGATAGTAAGAACTGTTGTGGGGTTTTTATTTTATTTATTTTTAATGGCAACTGAAAGGACAGACTATATAGCTTTTAATCGCCCAAAGAAGATGGTGAATAATTGAGAAAAAGCTTCTTAATTGCATCTGGCAATAGAAAACTGTTAAGCAGTTAAGTTAATTCCACGTGAACTGGAAACTGAAAAGATTTTCTTATAAAAAAGATTGACCCTGTGCCCTGGAGTCAATGAGTTTGATGAAGTTCTTTTCCTGGGAGTCTGGCAGACTTCGAGCCATGCTCTCATAGGCAAATGGAGCATAACCATATTGCATTGCTCCTTTAATCTCTTTTAAAACATACATCTCCCTGCAGAATCTCCAACTCATTATGCTGTCTGGAGAGGTGATTCAAATTGAGCTAATTTCATTAAAATATTCTTTTAGTGACAGTCCAAACACCATGTTGTGGGACATTAGCTCTGGTTTATATATTCCCTATTCATGAGGGACTTGGTAGCAAAGTACCTGATGTGATACCCCTCTCATAGCTTGACACGATAAACAGTGGAATAAATGTGCCCACTCACAAACATGTGATTACAGAATTTGGTGGCAGCTGAACTGCTTTTTAAGTGTTGCTTAAGTATTCGACTTAGCATCTAAACAGCTGATAAACACTTTCCGAGGGCTTGGGCTAAAGTCTTCAGAAAAGACCTACAGCACTGAGAGTTACTCAGTTAGTAAAGCTGGCCTAATTCAAAGCAGTTAATATTGAATCATTTTTGTGTTATCTCTTCTCAAAAATGCCGAAGGACACAGGAATCCCATTGCCTGTACAAACTGTTGCTCTGCTAAGACAGTGCTAAAATGCTATCCTTAGGAGCAGTACTTGAACAAAGCTGGTGTTATTCACAGCTTCTGTTTCAAGCTTAATAAAGTTTTATATGCCTTCAAGTGTGTCCATGTCCATGTTTATCACATCAGTGGGTTAGTTTACTAAAAGATGCAAATGCTTTTCATTTCATCCTATCCACCACAGATAAAATAGATTACCACTCTATTTTACATATTCAGAGGCTGTTATCATGTCACTTCTAGTCTTCTTTTTCCTAGACTGACAACCCCAGCCTTTTCATTTTTTTCATCCTGGGGCTTTCTGAGTTTTTTTATCCTAGGGTTTTCCAAATCTGTGTTCATATACTTGTGGCTCTCTTCTAGCTTTCCTTCAACTGGATCTCACCTTCCCCATAGCACAGTGCTGTATCTCCAGTTAGGCAGTTCAGCAGGGTTGAGGAGAGTGAAAGAACATCTTCCTGCCTTTTACAGGTTGTTCTTCCATCTTAGCATGATGTTTGACTTCTTCTGCAACCATGCAGCATTTTGACTCCTGTTCAGAGAAGCATCCTGGTCTCCAGCACAATTGTTGCTTCCAGCTTCATGCCATCTGCACGTACAATAAATGCACTGTATTGCACACTCCAGGTCTTTCATGGAAACGGAAAATATTTTGAACCCCAAACAGGGCCTTAACAATTTTATGTGCACTTTGTCCAAATAAATTATTCTTTACTACTCCCTAAGGATACATCTTCACATGCTTTTGCACCACTTTACTGTTTTTATTACAGCTGTGAACATACAACTGTTAGGTAAAAAAGTAATTCTGAAAAGAAACGGTGCAGTTTTGGTTAATTTACTCCGCACTAAATCTCAAGTGCGCTGCTTTAATCATGTGGCCCTATTTTGATCTTATTAGTTGCCCTAAAGCAAAAGCACTGTGTTTTTTTGATTTGGTTTGTTGTTGTTTTTTTTTGTCTGAGGATGTAAATGCTTGGCAGTTTTTCTGTGAAATTGCAAAGGTCAAGCGTTGTCAGGTGAAGTGGTTTTGATGGAAGAGCTCTGAGGAACAGGGAACTCCTCTGAGACACTGATACTGATTACTGAGTTAATGGTTTGTTCCCATCTTTATCAGTACCAGCAGTGGGTGACGCACTGGGGACAGGGACATGCATACCTGCAGCTCTTAACAAATCTCATGTCAGTCTGCATGACTTCCCTGTTAATTTTACCCATTACTCAATTTATAAGTCAAACATTTGCTTTTAACTGGGAAAAATCTACCTTGAAGTTTTGATTTTCTTTTTTTTTTCCCTATCTAACACATCAAAATGGATTTAAATCCATTGAGTTTGGTGGACTCGAGTTTGCTTTTAAATTGGTGTAAAAGAATAATAAATCACTTCAAGTAATTAACTGCTTCATATTATTTCTATGCTAAGTTACATGGTTTGAACGTTTACAGAGAAGAGAATACTTTAAGAGAAGTGTTCCCCTGCTTGATCAGGTTGCTGGCAAAGTGTTTAGTAATTTTTTCATGTAGAACAGTTTAAAGAATTTGAAGGTTTGCCCTTGTTGGCACTGTAAAGAAAATACGACTGGAGTTTCTGAGCATCTCAGAATGACGGTGGAACTGATCACAGAAATGCTGAAAAGAACATAAAAATAAAATTTAAGTTTGCTACATCATCTGAAATAACATAAGATGAAACCCCCAGAATACCTTAGAACACTTTCTGGCTGCTAAAAGCAGAGACACTGTGCTTCTCCTTGCACAAAAAATTGCAGAAATTTCCACCAAGCCAGTCATTTTGAAGAAATATGAAAGCTATTAACGTACTCCTTGTTGCTGAGAACCACAAAGAACAAATAGCTGAAAACACTATGCATCTCCTGTTCAAAAGGCCAAGTTCTTTCCTTAAGCAGGGCAATTTACATCTAGTCATGTCAGAATGATTTGCTTAAAAAAAGAAAAACAAAAAAAAACCCAAAAGAACAAACAAACAAACAAACAACACCCCACCCCCCAAAAAACAACCAACCAAACAAAAAAAACAACAACAAAAACCAAACCCATAAAACAAAACCAACCAACCAAACAGAAAAACCAAAACAAACCAAGAGAGCATAACCAGAAATCAAGGAACCAAAAGAACAGCAATAACATTACTCTGGAAAAAGATTTG